TTGTTTCTTCTAAATCTTTTTTTTTGTAATGCTTTTGCCTAACATTTTTAATATGTTAATTCTTCTTTAACATTTGAATGATTTACTATTTTTAGCTTTTCATGCTGTTTTTTTAATGATGTAAGTTGCCTTGGGTCCTTTTTTTTAAGGAGAACAGCAGGTTATTTTAAATAAATAAATAAGTTTTGTGTGTCCTACAAACTATAACTAAAATTTCAAAAGTGTTTTTCCCCCTCTTTTTGTCAGTACTGAATGAAGTACAAGAGTTTATTTTTGGTGGTAGTGGTCAGTTATGCCACCATATAAATTTCAAATAAACATATGCAGAAGTGTTTCCACTGTAGATATTTAAGAGGTTTTTTTCCAATGGCACTCCCTGTAATTTTTTTTTTAAATTATTGGCAGAATTGGAAGAACCTCTGACATAGTTGAATCTTCTGGAGGAAGAAAGGCTGCCAAGTTTCAGATGAACAGATATGGGGATGTTTGTGAGAGAATACTTTCATTTAGAGTGTATTCAAAAAAAGGAGGCTTCTCCCTAGGACCCCACATTGTTTGCAGACAATATTGTGAAAATGACAGTGAATGTTGGGGGAGGGGTTTGCAAAAGGAAGGATGAGTCAAGCAATTAATGTCAAAGTTGTAGTCCTAAAAATGATGGTGCTGGCACTTGCTTCCCTCCTTTTATCTTTTTCCAGTCTGTAGAGAGTCGCCCTGCATCCTAGAGGTGTCCTCAGACAAGAAAGCAGCAGAAGTCAGGAGGACAGGGGTTAGAAGCATCGTTTTGATAGTTGAACGACTATGTTTTGGTGGCTTTACCCCACCCCGTCTCATTTTTAAAAAGATTCAAACAACTAAAGCAAGACATAAAAGGTGGAACCCAACCTCCAAACTCCTCTTAATCCTAACTCAAAAGCTCTCTACTTGAGCAGAAACTAGACAATAAGTTTGCCTTGACCTGCATTTGGCAAGTTAGCCTGCTTTTCTTTTATAATTAGCCAGTTGGAAGATAGCATGTACGTGCATGTCTGATCTCTCCGGTATGTACCTCTGAAAGAGTTATGTGCTTATAGGGATGACGTGGCAGAACGAGATATGCATTGGCCCTCACCTGACCCTCAGTCTCTATCTCTCAAATATCTCTCCCTACTCAACAAAGAGGAGAGAAGCCAGAATCATCATTCTGAAGGTGCCTCCTCCAATACGCAGTGACTGGCAAAATAAATAATTATGTGCTGCCAGAAATGATTCCAACTTATGGTAACTTTTTATAGAGAAACAGTGGGAGACTGAAGTGATTGACAAGTCTCTCTTAAATACTTCCTAGTATTAGAAGAAGGGCCTGTCAGACACTTAGGGCCATTACTTTTCCCTTTTATCTTCCATCACAGAAACAAACAAAATCAAAAAGACATTATCCTTCCCCCCCCCACACTGCCATTTTTCATCTCATGAAGCACAACAATGAGTCCAAAGTTTGGTTCAGACTAGATTCCTAGTCAGACATTCAATAAAAAAGATTAATCTTAAGCCATGTCCTAAGGGCAGTAGGATAGTTCCACCTCCTTCTGTCCTAGATCACTTGAGTGGAAAGCTACCTCTGAAGAAGAGACCAGGGAAATTCCATTTTGGGGATTCTTCACAGAATCAGAAAACCTGAAAAATCAGTGTTCCTGATCAGTGAAGATAGCCCATGGAGAGAATCTTCAAAGTTACTCAAGTACTGTTTTCATCTGCTCTAACAAATCCAATCCGGGGATGATTCTGCAGAGCACTTTGGGGACAAAATAGTTCACCATGCTGACCTAGACACTCAATATTTACAGAGTCTGTTGAATTTCCTATGGAATGAGGACATTTTCTATGTTTGAAGCCTGAGGATGGGGACAAGATGCTTATCTCTGCATGGCCCCACAACATGCCTGCCATGACTTGTTCAAGCTAACCGACCAGACACAGCTAGGAGTCGTGATTGCATTAGAGATGGCAGATACATGCTACTCAATACAAGTTCATCCTACAATCTTCTCAGGCCCACGTCCCCAACTAAACCATGCTTCACACAAAGCAGAAACCACACAGAGCCATTTGCTTCAAGTATGAAGCAGCGTAACTTTTGTGAGCATCTAATTCATCAAGATTGGGCTAGCCAGTGGCTCATCCTCCATCACGTGAGATTAAAATATTTTAGTCATGGACCTAGGTCATGACTGAAGGACCTAGAAAGAAGGAAGAGAGAAGCAGCTGAATGAGATGCTGAAGGGCAAATAGTTGGGAAAGAGTTTTATATTTTATATGTATATAATTTTAAAGTGTTTTTTTATTCTGCACTTCAGAGGGAAAAATCTCGCAGAACAGCTTAATAAGGATCAGTAACAAAAGGTGGCATTTCCCTGAAAGTTTACAGTACGAAATATAAGCAGCAGCAGACAGGGGAAGGAAGAGGGAAAACAAGCACACTGAAGCATCTGTTCTTGAAGTTACAAACTCAAGAGAGGAAGGTGGAACATTTGATATCAATGAACCAAGGAGAAAAAGGGATGAGGGAGAGGAAATCTCTTAGGAGCTGTATAATCAGGAAGGGTGTTGGTGGGGAGACCGTCAAACAGTTAAGGGAGCTGGCAAATAAGAACATAAGAAGAGCCCTGCTGGATCAGGCCAAGGACCCATCTAGTTCAGCTTCCTGTATCTCAGTCACCTGGCCAGATGCCTCTGGGAGCACATGAGACAACTAGATACCTGTCTCCTGATACCCTCCCCTGCATCTGGGATTTTGAAGTACCTTCCTTTTAAGCCTAGAGATTATACATCCTCATCATGGCTTGTAACAGAGAGAAAGGAGCAGGGATCCCACAGACATGGTGGTGGTGGTAGAATGAATATTGATTTGAAACTATGAAAAGGCATTTAGCCCAAGAAAGAGTTGTGGAGACACTTCGCTGTGTCACATTCTGATGTAATCAAGTAAAGTGGGCCTAACTAGAACAAACCATCATGTGGTTTCTCTCTGTTCTGCCTGGCTTCAGACCCTGATTGGGGTCAATTGTTCCTCTTTGGTGCCCTCAAGTGGCCATTAAACACTGCTTTATTTTTTACACTTGACATTATTTTTCTAATTGGTATCTTTTGTTGTGGAGGTGATGTGCCTCAAACTTCAATCCAAGGGCACCTATTCTTAATCAGTTCATTTTTACTAAAAGAGTAAACCTATAGGATGATGACACCTCCATATATAAGTCTGTGAGAAGGTAAAGCTAGACCTCTGTTGTGCTAATTCTCTAAATAAACTGGGATTTATATTTAGTTAGTTTTTTATTTTACAAAAGATTCATGTGAACCTGTGATCTGGCGTGGAACATCCAGGTACAGAAGCCCTGTACAGGCATGTAGTTTGGAAGCATGTTGAGCTTAAATAATGGTGACTCCATGAAGCTATAGCTAACCTTTTATGCTATATTGGAAGCTGCTTAGAGTGGTCTTAAATAAACTGGGATTTATATTTAGTTAGTTTTTTATTTTACAAAAGATTCATGTGAACCTGTGATCTGGCGTGGAACATCCAGGTACAGAAGCCCTGTACAGGCATGTAGTTTGGAAGCATGTTGAGCTTAAATAATGGTGACTCCATGAAGCTATAGCTAACCTTTTATGCTATATTGGAAGCTGCTTAGAGTGGTCTTATAGACCAGAGGCTTAAAAGCTGGTGACACCATGGAGCTATAGCTAACCTCCCCTCCTTCCATCTCCCCTTAAAAGCCCAAATTCAATCCTCACATTTTCTGATTAAGAAATTAAACAGCACAATAAATAAATAAACCCTCCTTCCATGTCCCCTTAAAAGTCCAAATTCAATCACCACATTTTCTGATTAAGAAATTAAACAGCAACCTTAGTATCTTAAGGCTCTCTGCCCTAATGCTCATAGTCCAAATTCAAGTTGCTCTGCTTCTTATATAGAGGCATATGTCTTCCAAGCATGACTTGTGCCTGGCACCGTTTGAACGCTGTGTCAATTAGAGAGAGATCTGGGATTGATAATGATCTCTGAAGTTGATGTCAAGGAGTCAGCTGAGACTTTACGACCAGATATACTGATGCCTAAGTGGTTCTGAGAAAATCTTAACTGAAAATAAGCCAACAGAAATAATTCATACAGCTCTGACATAGCACACTCAAGTGTGGCAAATAAGAAATAAATATGAAATAGTTCACCATTTCCAGTTTAAGACAGAGGTGGGAAATCTAATGGAACAATGTTGGTACAGGGAGCAGGCTAGCATCTGTCAAATGGCAGCCACTGATGCTCCCAGGAGGAGAAGGAAGACAAGCTGAATCATCCACATAGGGCTCATTGGATGTGTCTGGACTAGAACTCTCACCTTCCCTGACCACTGGCCAGGCCCGCTACAGTGTCATAGATTCCCCAATCCTAGGACAGAAAATGATGTTTTGTTTCCCCACCTGTGTCGCTCTCCAATGTGGTTCAAAGCTTGTCTGTTACTGACCCACAAAAACTCATTTTCCCACACCACTCAAAGGAAGCTAGTCAGATGTCTTCATGAACTTTCTGTTTCGTTTTACTCTCATTTACAAGAAGTCTGATGACAGCCATGGGCTGTATTTTAACGATCACTGCCCAATCCACATGAACTGGCACCATCTGGATATGTCCTTCCTAAGTTAAACTTGGAATCTCATCACCTTTACTCTACAAAATATTTGGTTCCTGACTGCTCAGCTGCCCACTTACATGCTGGAGGCCCACAGCTGCTGGCATATTTCATTCTCTTTTAGGTGAGACACGCCGTCCAATGCATGTTGTTTTATCAGTGCATGTGAAGCTTTTCCTGCATTTGTGGGGTCAAGACAATATAATAAGGACTACTGTGTGGTTTCTGGATGAGAGTCTTCTGCTCTGGGAAATATATACATGCCTGTGCAGATTAACCTATCTGTTTTGCACAATTTGTAATAGCATGATTGAAAATTACAGCCTCCAGTGCTGAATTAAGGTATTTTATTCTTGGTAATATTAACAGGAAACAGATCTTTAAAAACCTCAGTCCTTGACAAGATAAAATTCATGTAAGTTTTCCTCTTCTAATCTATCATGATGAGAAAGAAAAATAAACAGAAAGACTGCATCAATCTACTTGCTTTGAAAAGGAATATAAAAGCATTTTGTTTTTGTTAGCAGTAAGAATTCTTGCTTGAGAAGCCAGCTGGATTATTGCTCTTCTTGGATATGGAAGACATCATCATCAGCTTGATGCCCTGTTCCAAAGCCAATGGAAGCTTAGTGGCAGTTGTTTTTCTTCAGGGTGATATGGTTTAACCAAGGAACGTGATACACCACAAAGTTGCAAGTCACTTGCTGAGGAAAAGAGAGGGAGAGAGGAAGAAACTTTAAACATGATGTAAAGTAAGTGGCAACCTTATTAATAATACAGCAGAATCCCATGAAACAAAGTGTTCATCCTATTAAGAAGGCCTTGCTTTTAGAGACATGTGCGGTTTTGATTTCTTAATGGGATTTAACAGTGCATAAACATCACTACACAAAAGCCACAACTGGAAAATATGGACACATGGAATAAATCACATTAGCAAAATCTTCAAGGAAGTGCTCCTGTGCAAGTCTCCTTTAAAGTAAAGGAGACTTACACAGGAGAAGTTCTCAGCAGATTGTATCAGCAAATCATTTACAGACATCATCTTCCAATTATCTTTCTCAATCAAGTCAACTACCTAGAGAGCAATAAGCAACTTTGTGTTTTCAGTAAAAGTACAAGCCACGTTTCCCAGATGCTTTAGGTAATGACGAGGAAGGTTCCCTGTCTTAGGGATTTCACTTTCCCCTCTCCTTTTTCCTCTAGTTTTCAAACCCCCAATACAGATAACTCAATGGGGATCCATACTGTATCTGAATAGTCAGTTTTGTTTCTAGAGCAGAAAGGGACGACCAGCGATTCCACATTGCTGGACAAAAACAACTATGATCCTTGGCCACGTGGCCTGGCTGTCAAACAATCCCCCCCCCTGTTCTAGTGGGAGAGAACCCCCAAAACAGTCTTTTGTGTTAGATACTGAGTATATACATTATAGCAATATGCCTTTTGAGTCTGAGAGAGAGAGAGAGAGAGAGAGAGAGGGAGAGAGAGGAGGGCCCATGAACATCTCCTTTTCTGTAATGAACTGAAACAATTTTTTTTTGGGGGGGGTGTTTAAACTAGAAAAATGAATTAATTGCAGGTAAATGTGTATAATGCTGTGGACAGTTTCATTAGTTGCATATCTACCTGTGGAGAAAAACTCTGGGAGTTCAGTTCACCACTGTGCCTCCTGGGAGAACAGCCAGCCTGTGTAGCCCTAGTCAAGCTGCACAATCCTAGGGCACTCTAGAACAGTGGTTCTTAACCTGGGCTATATTGCCCCCCCAGGGGGGCGATTTTGTTTCTCAGGGGGAACGAAAACGGGTGATGCTGAGGTGAAGGAACAGAAGGGGGTGATATGGGGGGCGACGGAGTGAGCCATACCTGAGAAGGCGGCTGCAGCCGCGGTGCTGGTAGCAGATCCGGCAGGTGGATCCAGAGCAGCTAGTGCTGGCAGTGGATCTCGTGCTGCCGCCGCCGCGCTGCCGCCGCTGCACCATCATCACGGGGAGGGGGGCGATGGTAACTTCCTCAATGGCTCAAGGGGGTGTTTCTTTCAAAAAGGTTAAGAACCACTGCTCTAGAAGAAGGGAATGGTAAACTAGTTCTGAATACTCTATACCTAGAAAACTCTGGAAAGGGTTGCTGTAAGTCAGAACTGACCTGACGGCACATAATTATATACTTCTAGTTGTACTTTATGACATGGAGTTGAAGGCTTTGGAATAAGTCTGCTATAAAAGAGATAAAAACTTTTGATATGCAGTTTTATTACAGGGAGCTAAGAATTTCTTGAACTGAGAAAATGCGCAATGAAGAAATACTCATGTGAATGAATAAAGACAAAGAATCATAAAACACATAAAATGCAAAAAGCTAAAATACTGCAGTTATGTGAAAGGAAAACAATAAGTACAGATTTTTAGAGCAGATCATTCAAGGAAAAATAAATGGCTTAAGCAGTGTAGGCTGGAGAAGAACTTATCAGCTGAAGAAGCTGGCTGGGGTGCAGCACAACCTCCCCGTTTAGAGCTGCCACATCCAGAACCATAATGGCCATTATGATGCCCAGCTTTGTAGAAGAGGAACAAAAAGAAGAACAATGGATAAAGCTGAGCTGGAACTGTAACGAGATAAGCTGTTCTTTTCATAAGCATTTCCAAAAATGAGAAATATGACAATTTGCCCAACACTCGTGATGTTGCAACTGCTACTGAAAAACAACTCGTACTAGTTAGAAAAGGAAGGCTTTTGTGCCAGGCTCAGCCAGACATCTTCTGACTCATTAAGCAGCTGATTCAAGGGTTTCTGACAAGGTAACATTCCCCTATCCCATTAAAATCAAATTGACATATCTGGGCACTGAACACAGGCCTTGGGAAACTCACAGTTTTTACCTTTGCCCCTTGCTCTATTTGTTTACTGTTGCTAAAAGAGAGAGAGAGATTTTGCTTATCTCAGCAATCATCCATTGTTGACTATCCTTTGTACACAATTTGATGAAATTAAGCCTGGGGAGGGGATGGTCTTGTGACTCCACATACCTTCCTCATGATGGATTATGTAGGTTTGCCATCAAGGCCCCTGAAAACTATGACATAAATTAGCAGTGATGAATATAAGCCCTATGGGTTTCTATGGTCCTTAAGGCTGCAATATTCTCCCCATTTACTTGGACATAAGTCAGCCTCACTGATAGCTCAGTGAGTTAGGTATGGTTGAGAGTTCGATTCCTCACTGCCTCCAGGGAGATGACATGATGAATTACCAATGTTTTGCTCTTGCCCATTTCACTAAAATTCCCACCGTCCCCAGCTTGCATGGCTAGTGGCAGTGTTGTCTAAAGATGGTGGATGCACTTATGAGAGATGTGCAGATTTATGTTCTTCAAATACAACTCCCATAGCTGCCTGAGAAATTCTAGGAGCCGTATTCCGAAAACACAGATCTACATACCTCTAACAAGGAAACCCATCAGTTGCCACTAGCCATGCAAGCTGGAAATAATGGGAATTTTAGTCCAACATACTCAAAAGGTCTCAGAAAAGCAATTAGCTCTCAGGGCCAAATATCATAGTGAACATCTTTGCATCAAAGGTACAAACTATACTTTCAGTGCAGTATTTTAATCCATGTTACATTTGTAGGGGTGGGAACACTTACTAACGATGGCACAACAGATACAAAGATGATTCTGCATAAAGATGGTGTTTATGTTTTATTTCCCTTGCTATGCTCCTGAAGAAAATTCCTCTTCTGGAACTGGCATTTGGTTTGGAGAAATACCTCACTGCAACCTATTACGATTCCATTAGTTATCCATAGCTATGCATGCAAGTTAATGCTGATGCTATTCACAACTTTTTTTAAAACCTCCACATTAGATGCAGAGCCATATTTAAAGTCCTATCTAGTTTGGCCCAGAATCACACAGGGTTATGTGGATTAAAACGGGTTAATCCCATCGCCCAGCTATCTTGTGCAATCTTCCCTCCTTGTTGTGAGGTTTCTTCAGAAATTCCTCCCTCATACATCATACAGCACAGACCTCAGGAACCATCTCAGGTATTTTCTACAGCAGAACTCATTACTGAAGCAACAGAATCCAAAGCAGAGCTATGGAGGTAAGACAAGACTTGGTTTTTAGTGCCACTTATTAAGTCCTATGGAAAAACATGAATATGGCACAGTCAGCAAGCCTTTATGGGGAGGGATAAAAAATGCAATTCCTATGAAACTGGAATCACTAAGAATAAATTTAGCTTCAGCTTCAACAGTCTCCAAATACTAACCTGCCCCCCCCCCCCCCCACTTATTTCTCTTGGAACTGCTGTGTATTTGTTGGGGAGAAATAGTGTTGTAATTGGGATATCTTTCCAGCTCAACAATCCCTGCCTATTTTTACACAGTCTTGCAAAGTATAACATGGAGACAGAGGGTGCAGTTAAAAGCAGAGCAGGCTTCAATTTGTAAGTGCTGTATTGCCTTTTACTGGTGCATTTTAAAAATGGTTATGTTTAATCATATTTGGCCAGAATTCTCGCTGTATTGCCTTTTACTGGTGCATTTTTAAAATGGTAATATAAGCAGTTACGCTTTGCTTATGTTTAATCATATTTGGCCAGAATTCTCTTACATATTTATCATCCCTTGTAACTCCATCAATGTAAATTTAAATGGTAAATTGGTGAAAGTGAAGAAATCAGTCTTGTGCTTGCTCTTACATACCACAACTCAGCTTCTAGCAGTCTATGATGTTTCCTTAACTTGCAGCAATTTGCTGTTGAAATTTATGCCAAATGAATTATGCTAATGGATGTAAGTAGTAGAGCTTTGCCCTTTGTCTTAATTTAACTGCAAACACCCAGTCCCATTCACAGGGAGGGAGGAAGAAAGGAATGAAGGAATGAACGAACCTAGGAGCTTTTTTGTTTTTTGTTTTGTTTTGCTGTTGAGATATTACATCTTTGCTTTCTCATATAGTTTTTCTTAGGCTGCCACCCCTCTCTGGGCCATCATGACAGCAAGCTTTCTTTTACGTACAAAGGCCCATACCCTCTTTCAGGATTTACACAGGCATGGTGCTCCTGCTGCACAAACTGCAGGAGCAAGCTGACAAGAAACTGGTTGCACACAACCAGGCAGGCAACTGATACCTTGTCAAATCGCTGTGGCAGCTTCCACAATTACAGTTCTCCACGAGTAAATGCAAAGCAAAGCAAAGCAAAGCGTGCTGCTTATATACCGCCCCATAGTGCTACAAGCACTCTCTGGGCGGTTTACAAGTTAATTATGCAGGCTACACATTGCCCCCCCCCCAGCGAGCTGGGTACTCATTTTACCGACCTCGGAAGGATAGAAGGCTGAGTCAGCCAGTGATATTTAATACTTCTGAACCAAAGTCCTGATTTCTGTCACGTACCTGTGCCAGAGCTGGCGCTTCATGGAAGGCACAGTTCTCAATGTCACTAGCTGGTTTGGTGCAAGTTGTTCGTCCAACTTCAACATCCAGAAAATAATTGACACCAGAAACAATCTGCAAGAAATGAGAGGGAACATTAACAGAGATGACATTAAGAAGAGAACATCACTAAAGTCCGTGTTCTGCCAGACTATATCTGAGAGGATACCATTCTAGCTGCAGATGAAAAAACAGAATTTGGCTGATTTATGAACAGTGTCTGAGTGCAGTAACCCCATCCCAACTGCCACCCTAAGGTTGCCATTCTGAGTCCTATATTTGCTCTAAACCTGAAGGGGCAAAAATGGGTAAGAAAGACACAGGATCAGTGTGTGCTCAGCCTTTCCATTCCAGTCAGCCACAAGGCCGACCCTGTCATGGACAACTGCATTCAAAACTGACACAACCAGTCTCAATACAGGACAAGAGGACACGTGAGATCTATTGGGTGACTCTGGAGAAGGCCCAGAACTTAATCTCTGCCAACCTACAGAGCTGACTGAGTGGGTTCAGCAAAGCACCATTGCTAGGTTCTAACTTTCTTTACAAGGGCAGCAGGACAAAAGAAATCTTGCCACGCAGCATCCAGCAAGGCAGGGTGGGGAACCTGTGGCCTCCTTCCCTCTTATACCATCATTTGGTGACTTGATTCCCCAGCTTTTGTTCAGGGGGCTTCCATATTGTTAAAGACCTAAGTGCTTCTCCTAATGCTCGGTTGTTAGCAGTAAGAGATTTAAGCTAAAATAAGCTGGCATTTTATGCCCACATGTGCGCCTTTGGCTTCACTCACTAATGGCATGCAATGCCCACCCAATCCTGCCCTCATCCCCAGCCAGCAGTTCTTTAAAACGAAATTCATCCTTTTGTCTCAAAAAAGGTTCCATGTCTTTATCATAAATAAACACAAACATGTTTATGCCGTGTCCTTAACCCCAGAAGACTGACCTTTCTTTGATAAAAGGGCAAAGTACACTGAATGCAAGTCCCTGCACTCCCCCACACGCAGTTCATGGCCTTTGGTTTATGCAAGTCACTGTCAGAAGATGTGGCAATAGCTCAGTGCAAGTCTAGATCATGTTTTAATGAAGATTGTGCAAATTCATAGGAGGTGAGTCTTTAAGAGATAATCCAAAGAGTTGAATAGACCCTTCAAGTTCAGAGACAACATACCCTTGAAGAGATGACCTATTTGTGAGATTCTCAGGGCTTTCCAAAAAGCAGTGGAGAGGCAGAGGGCTGCACCTTGGTAAGCATGAATGTCCCTCTCAGTGTATGAGAGCAGTTAAACCTCCCACTGAATTGGCTGTTCAAACAGTGCCCTGGTTGCAGAGGGCAGGTACAAAGCAAGACATCCAAGGATGACTTTGGCTTTTTTGCTTCCTGGCGCAAGAACCAGAGAGCGAAGCAAACTAAGTATGTGGCGAAAGGCTTCTAAAACATCCAAGGAGCCAAGGCAAACTATGGCCTTTTTGCTTCCTGGTGCAAGAACCAGAGAGCTAAGCAAACTAAGTATGTGGCGAAAGGCTTCCTCACTAGCTGACAAGGGCCCTTCTCCTTTGTAGCACCTGGAAAAAAATATTTGGGACTTAAAGTCCCAGAGTCCTCCAAAGAGCATGACCATGCTAGTTGGGGGATTCTGGGAGCGGTAGTCCAGTGACTCTGCTCTCCCACCCATACTCTGTCCTCCAAAACTTATTTTTTTTCCCAAGCCCTGGTCTACTGCCATAACACACTGGAAGCATCAAGACAAATCAACTTGTTTGCTGTGTTCAGCTGCTGCAGCCCACATAGCCTTTTCTTCCCAACCTTCAAGTTGCTATCCACATCACCCTTAAACAAGGAGAAATACAGCAACAGTTTAGAGCCATTGGGAGTTGCTAGGTTTTTGTGCAGGTTTGGTTCATGTGAATCTGAACTTTCTACAGTTTTGCACAGTGGGGCTTCCAGCTAGATTGCGCTCATGGGCTGCAAGCCATGTAACTTGAATAAGTGCTGCCAGTGGCTAAAAAATAGGGGAAGTAAACAGTGGAGGAATGCTTTGTCCTAGTTAGGTCAAGGATGTTCCAGTCAGCAACAAACTGTAATTCTGGCTGGGCAGTACAAGGGCAGGAAAATGAGGTCTCCCCTCCTCTTCTTTACTGGAACACAGCAGGGGGCAGGCTAGTCTTCCGCCCATGGTAACAAGACTTCCTCTGTTGTAATCGGGTCTACAGTGCCAACTTTCTCCCACCTCTGTTCTTGTGGCTGGTACGCAGAAATCTAAAGAGGGAAGCTCCCCCATAAGTGCTAGGAGGGGGAAAATGTCAGTTGAATTATAGGTATATGTCTAATTCTGTTAACAATAAAGAGGTGAAGGAGGGAAAGAAGGGCAGCAAATCTGCACAGGACTTCCAACAAAAAGGTACCACAGCTCACTGAAAAGATACATCGTTTCTAGTGACAAGGATTTTAGGAAATGCTAGGAAAGACTCAGTAGAGAGAAGCACTTACAAAACCAGCCCTATTGTTAGGCAGAATGAAGCATACATTTCAAGCAGCAGATCTAGAGTATCATGCAATGGCAACATATTGTTAGGAATTTTAATGTATTCCAACTCCATTTCTCCTGCTAGGAAAGGGGAAGAGGTGATTGTTAAATTTTCTGTGCCAGGCACCAAAATAACTTGACTGGCCCTGGGTACACCTAAGTGATGTAGTGGTTGAGTGCTGGCATGGGTTCAAGTCCCTACTCAGTAATGATACTCCCTGGGTGATGCTAGGCAGTGAGAGTCTCTCAGTGTTTATCTACCTCAAAGTGCTCTTGAAAGGACGGCCATGTTGGCTGCCCTGAGCTCCACACAGGAAAAATAGGACAGACATGTAATTAATAAATAAATACCTTACACCTTGACTTGGGGGAGGGGGCTGCTCTACCTCAGGCAGCGCGTTCCTGACCACTACGTGCAGATCATGGGCTGCAGAGAAAACCCTCCTGCCCAGCTCTTGAGCCATTCTTGCCTGTATCTCTGGCAGTAGAGGATCTGAGAAACGGTCTTTTTCCAAAACCAAATCTGAACGTGCTAGAGATGCACGTTAAAGAGAAAAATCCATTCCTGAAAACAACTGCCTGACCTCTGTTAAGAGTGACACCGTTCCACCCCCGGGCGCTGGGACCCGCCTTGGGCTTCCCCATCGCGAAGCCCGGATCCGCGCGGCTCACTTACTTGCTTCCTCACGTTGATGATCCTGGACACGCGACCGACGTACTTGTCGTTGCTGGCTCGGTTATATTCGTTGATCGCGAACTGGAGGGCCCGCTGCACCCCTTCGTCGTTGGCGGAGGCCTCGATGGGCGCCCCCAACGCCCGCTGCCCCGCCGCCAGGGCGACCCCGAGCAAGACCGCGCCGCACACCAAGAGCCACCGGGACGACGCCATCGCTGTTGCTCGTCAAGCCGCTCGACTGCGCCGGCTCTGCTGCCGAGCGCCGTAGAAAACCCCCCCTCCCACACCCACACGGGTCGAGAGACCGCCCCCTGGTTGCGGTGGGTTTCCTTTGCAGCGTCAAGTCTCGCCCTACAAAAAGCGCGGCCCCGAATCTTGTTCCCTCCGCGCGCTCGAGCCCCCGCCCGGCTCGGTTTCTTTCTTCACAGCTGCTCTGGGTCGCGAGAGGGAAAAAAAAAGGGGGGGGGAAGGAGAGAGAAACAAAACTCAGGCGAATCAGACAGACGGAGAAAATTACTCAGTCCAGGCGCCTGATTTCCCCGGCTCCTTCTCTAGGCACACTTCCACATTTATTCGCCATCGTGACTCTTTCTTCTTTTTCGCTGCCTTAAAGCCCAAAATCAGGTTGGTTCCGCCTGAAAGTTAAGACTGCCCGGACGAAGCCACAAAGCAGAACCGTGCCCTGATAGGTTTTTTCCAACCGCTGTTTTCGGATCCGCTGAAAAAGGACATGCATGGGGTGGAAGGGAAGGCCCTGTTCCGTTTAGCCTGGAACCTAACAAAATTTTGTTGTCGTTTACCACTGGTTCTTAACCTTGGGTTACTCAGGAGTTTTGGACTGCAACTCCCAGAAGCCTTCACCACCAACTGTGCTGGCTGGGGTTTCTGGGAGTTGCAGTTCAAAAGCATCCGAGTAACAAAGGTTAAGAACCACTCGTTAAGTCATGTCCGACTCTTCGTGACCCCATGGACCAGAGCACGGCAGGCCCTCGTGTCTTCCACTGCCTCCCCGAGTTGGGTCAAAGTCATGTTGGTTGCTTTGATGACAAAATTGGCATGGGGCAAACTGCCAACGCCTTGAAGACCGTTCAGTGCCACCCGTCCGACTTCCGAAACGCTCAGTAATAGACACACACCCCCTGTGAAGTCCCAGCAGTCTTAGATGACCATGCCTCCAGCCAGAAAGCAGACATGGGGAGTGTGGACTTCTTCCGGATGTCATTTGACTCCAGTTAGCGTCATTGCGCTCCTTTGGCTAAGCCAGCTAGTTGAGATCTGCAGACCAAACAGTACGTCTAAACAGCCTGCTTTTCGAGTTGGTTGTTTTTAAAGCACTGAGGCACGGAAGCAGATTGAATAAGAAAGAAGTTAAGTTTTTCACCCCTCTGCTTTCCAGAGTCAGCTTTGGCCTGCTGGGCTCATAGACCTTTGCTTGAAGCACTATAGGGCGGTATATAAGCAGCACGCTTTCAAATCTTCCAGAATGTAAATTCTCTGTTGGTTGCATTGGTTAGCACGGCTCAGTTCTGGACTGCGATAGGACACTTAGATACTGTATACATATGTAGACCCCTCACACAAAAGAAAGTGAAGCATTCAATTATAACTAGTGGGCTATGAAAAACGGTGAGGAAACTAGTCAAAATATGACATCAGTCCAAGGTTTATTCTCACTTATTTCAGGGCACTTTCAGGGTCTACAGGGAGCCTGATTTGAAGCACTAAACAATTTTGAACTTCACAGTATTAAAAGTGCAACATAGCATGCCTGATTGCATAATACTGAAAGTGCTGGGCTATATGGTTCATACTCCAGTGACACTTGGGTCACTGAGGAGGATGTGGGACTTTCCTTAAGCCAATTTGTCTGGGAGTCCAACTCTTAGAAGGCCCAAGTTCCTTCATCTTCTAAAATACATCTGTAACTAATTTATAGCCAGTACAATCCATATTGGAGAGTGAAAAGAATGCAAGTCGACCCTGGGAAGAAAATACTTTCTGCTGCTCATTACAACTTTTTCCTCACAATGCAAAATGCATGATAAGAAACAGAGACAAAAATCTACTCTCCCTCGTTAAGCAGAGCAATGGGAAAAGAAACATAAACGGACCTTTAGAACACGTTGCATCATAGAATTAAAAGGATCCATGTTTAACTATGAACAGAAGTTAGATAACTCATGGAGGACAAGGCAGCCATTCTGTTAAGAACAGAGTGACAGTTTGGTAAAGCACAAAAAATGTAAACATAAGATTAGAGAAATAGTGAAGATGAGGAGCAAGACTAGGGCTGAGAGTAACATTCCAGCCTCTATCTAGACCTGACACCTTTTGAAACCTCTTTCCAGTAATGTGTCTGACACCAGAAATTAACCACACCAGGCCGGTGGCTGAAGTATTAAAACATCAACAAGCAGATGGGCCAGGGTTCCCTTTACAACAACTAAAGAAAACAAATGAATATATGCACACGGCACAGTGACAATGTGAGCTAGAAACTATTAGTTCTCTTCCCTTTCTGACATCAGCACAGCCAGATGTTACAGAAGTTCCTAGGGCTGGAGCAGCTACAGAATGTTCACACCAGTCCAGTTCAGAAGTGGTCAACCTGGTGCCCACCAGCTGTTCAGGAGGACTCCCATTAGCTTTTATTCCACTGATCAGGAATTTTGGGAGCTGTAGCTCACTTCTACAGGGCATCAGGTTACCTAACTTGTTCTGCTAGTCAGCATTCTTGTACCAACAGTGAACATATTGGTAATGAGCTAGTTCTCCATCCTGAAACTTGAAATATCCCAAATAAATCAAATTTTGACACATAGGCCTCTTTGATGAGGAGTAGGAGGATGCAAATATTTTCCTTTGATTGGTGCAATGCCTACAATGTTGTAGGAGCCCATTATCCTGGAATCCAGGATCCTTTCTATTCCATTGTGGAGCAGAACCACAAATATGGTTCAAGTTGTGTCAATATTTTATCTGCAGTGAACCAAATATTAAAAAAAAATTAGTGATGGACTTAATATATCAGGGTAATTGAAGCTTTGTTTGGAGAAAATGAGACACACATACTTTCCTTGCTTATTATGACTGTATGTGTCCCTGCATTAAATGAAAGAAATGTGATTTAAGAACACAGCCTATGTCTAGACTCCTAGATTTCTAGGCTGAAAATTATGTCAGAGTTGATAAGGACCCCAATTTATCATCATCATTATTCAAAAATACCAGGTACAGTCAATCAAAATTATAAAAACGTTGACAGGTATTATATAACAGATATGTTTTAACCGAAAACCTAAGTAGTAGTCATAGTTGTTTGTTATTCTACATATATATCCAACCCACTGATTCATATTCAAGAGAAGTCCTGCAATCAAGCACAAGGTATAATCTTACATAGAAACCAAAGCTGCAACTGCTTTGTACATTGCAGTTGAGTGAGCTACAACATAAATTAATTTCTACAAATACATCAAATTCAATAGATGTACAATTGGCTGAATAGTATGTATCAATTTAATTAGCACTGCTGGAAATCTAACATACTGATTTCACAAATGAACGAAGAAATAATACTAAATACTCTTTAATGTAAACAGAGGAATTTAAACATCTACACTGTAATTTACACTTTCCCCATATATCACAAAAACATATCCTCCCCCATCTTAGGTGTCAGAGTGGATAAATATTAAGTACTGATTAAATTCATGACACTTCTACATTGGAACAAAGTGAATTATAGAATCGATTAAAATTTGAGTCAATTACTATTAGACTGAATAGACACAGCTTAAGTTAATTCTAAAGAGACAATAGTGTTAGTTTACTGTAGAAAAAGGCAAAGTCATACTTCATTTTAAATACTGACAAGATGTCACAAAACATTCAAAATTATTAATCTAATGAAGTACTCTCATCCACAAGAGCTTTTGTGTAACTGTTTTAGACCTCTGTGAGCTACAAAAACTGTTTCCTCATGGGAATTACTCCTATTGGGAAAGTAATAATATTTTATTAATTGAGAATAAATGACTTTAGTGCTAGGCAAAATAATATTAGGCATTGAATTATTATCAGTACTGTATTAGATGAGAGGTTTGGAAAATGCATTTAGGTCTGTGACTGTGGCACTATGGATGAACTCTACTGTTGCGCTTAGCCAATATTTGTAACTTGATACTGATCACCAAGATCCTTAATATTACGTTGTGTTCCTTATGTAATTTCTAAAGTAGAAGTTGCAATAGAGGCTCTAAAGCAGTCAAGTTAAAGCTTCACCAATCAATTCAGTAAAAAAGGTTGAAAGGCTGTCACACAGATGGGCAGGATCTGTTCTTGATCATCCCAGAATGCAAGACACTCAATAATGGGCTCAAGTTACAAGAAGCAAGATTTCAATTGAATTTCAGGAAAAACTTTTAGAGCAATGCAACAGTGGAACCAGTTACAGTGGACCCTCGACTTACAGATGGCTTGACTTACAGACTTTTTGAGTTACAGACTTCTCTGGCCGCAAAATTTAGGTTTGACTTGCAGACTGAGATTTGACTTACAGACCAGAAAAAAACCAAAATGGAACAAAAACGGCATGTTACGGGATTAATCGGTTTTCAATGCACTGTAGGTCAATGGAGACTTGATTTACAGACTTTTTGACTTGAGAACCGCCTTCCAATACGGATCAAGTTCTCAAGTCAAGACCCCACTGTACCTCGAGAGGTGGTGAGTTCTCCAACACTGGAGGCATACAAGAGAAATGTAGAAAACCACCCCGCAGATATCATTTGATTTGTATTCCTGTATCGAGCAGGGGATTGGACTTGATGGCCTTGTAGGTCCCATCCAACTTCATTATTCTGATTTTATGAAGAAAGCAGGCCAACGGAGGCAACTCTGGGCAACGTTCTGCTGGGAAATGTTGGGTCCTGGCATTCATGTGGATGTTACTTTGACACGTACCACCTACGTTGAGATTGTGACAGATCACGTACTTCATGGTCATGGTGTACCCTGATGCCACTGGCCTCTTTCAGCAGGATAATGCACCCTGCCACACTGCAAAAATTGTTCAGGAATGGTTTGAGAAACATGACAAAGAGTTCAAAGTGTTCCCTTGGCCTCCAAATTCCCCAAATCTCAATCTGATTGAGCATCTATGGGACATGTGCTGGAACACCAAATCTGATTCATGGAGATCCCACCTTGCAACTTGCTGGACTTAAAGGATCTACTGCTAAATATCTTCATGTGAGATACCACAGAACATGTTCAGACGTCTTGTGAAGTTCATGTCATGATACATCAGAGCTGCTTTGGCAGCATGAGGGGACCTACACAATATTAGGCAGGTGGTTTTAATGTTCTGTAAATCAGCGTTGATCAGTTGAAATACTTGAGGGCTAGTGGGATGTGGTTTGCTATGTGCTAGAACTAGATGGAACAACTCTTTATCTAAATATTTCCAAATGGCTAAAGGAAACCAGAGAATCATGAACAGGAGTTATATAAACATGATTATGCACAGCTTACACACTCAAACCATTGATTCATTCAGTCCACTGCTGTCTCTCATTATTATAACAATAACTTTCATGGTTAAGTCATTCTGAGCCTCCTAACCAACATTTTTTTGAACTGGAGAGAAAAATTCTTTGAGTTTTCCTAAAGACAGAGCATGGGTTTCATCACAAAGGCATCCCTATTTCATGTAATTTTAAGTCCCCAGAGCTTTTAAAGCCTGAATTGCAAACAGAGTTTGATTTTTGAAGCAGGCAGGTTTCATCTTAGAAAGGCACCATCACTCCTTGTAACAGAAAACACAAGTAGTATGTGATGACCAGACTGTAGTCTAAATGAGCTACCAATAAAAGAGGGAGACATCAGGATGCTCTGTATCTATGTGTGAACATGCACAACCGGCTGAATAATGACTGAAAATGCTCAATACTTATACAATACTGAGTACTTATTAGGGAATGTTAAGGAAAGCCAGAATATGTATAATGAAGTGGAGCATCCTAGATGAGAGCATAGCTGACTCTAACATTGAACTCAGTTTTAAAATACTTTCTTGCATGTCCTAACAGCGACCTTAGGCAATGTGAGTACCTTGACTTGGAAGCTAAATGCACCAACCTAAAAATAAGATAGATTGGTATTTATATAGATTGGAGATGGCCTAGGACATTTATATAAGGAGTATGTACATTTCTGAAAGAAAAGGATATTTGAAACTGAATTTTTTGTGTTGACATGAATCTGTCAATTCATACAATATTTATACCAGTTGTGAAAAGTGACAAGAGACAGTAACAATACCTATCAATTCCAGGTTAGGAGGCCAGATCATCACTGGAACTTTTCTATGTCCAAATGTGCCATATTACTCATATATAAATCTTCTAAGACTGGGCAACACATTGAGATTGTAGGAGTTTGTGGCAAAACGAAGGACCCAAGCCTCATTTTATTTATGATACCCTAGCTGTGAACCAACTTTTCCACAAGCACCTTGTCTCACTGACTTTCTGAAATCCCCATGTTTTGACTTCTATAATTAGGAAGGTTACAAAGCTATAAATGCCTTCCAGTACAGTATGTGTCACAGTAAGACCCCAAAATCAGATAGAGAGGCAGTTACTGTATTAATTACTGTAAACTGGGTTCTGTATTATCAGCATTAAGACATTACACACTGATAGAAGACAAAAAAAATGTGAATAATTCAAGCTTTATCTTTTCACAGAACCAGTTTATAAGTGAAGCATAAATACAGTGTATCTTAGTAAATGCACAATGAAACTTCTGAAGGAGCACTGAAACCACAACAGTAATTTATTGACCTAAATCAGTATATCAAAAGCAACCTATTTTAATTGGAATCCTGTTGATGGGCCCATTGAAGTTACATTTCAGGTTTTATATTTTTATTCTTCAGTTTCACCAGGTTTGCGAATATCATCAATCTTCAGAATCATTCTAACCATCTGGGTAGCCAGAGATATTTGTTGTTTTTTGCCAATTAAAGTTTCTATGACATGTTGTTCCTTCATATCTGTCAAAAAAAGAATACTTAAAATAAGATGTGCTCACTCACGATAAAAAAAAATCAAACGTTTCTCCAACAAAGCACAAAAAATAAAGAACACAAAACCCTGAATCTCAGCACCTGCACCTATCTAGGTAGCCGGCTCAAGGTTGACTCAGCCTTCCATCCTTCCGAGGTCGGTAAAATGAGTACCCAGCTTGCTAGGGGGGCAATGTGTAGCCTGTATAATTAAAAATTGTAAATCGCCCGGAGAGTACTTGTAGCGCTATGGGGCGGTATATAAGTCCAATAAATAAATAAAATAAATAAATAAAAATCTACTTATGTGATTGCCTGTTTAAGATCTATGCCATAGTATTTTAAATAGTGCCAAAATCAAAATGTCCTGTTATATGCAGGGAACTTTACCAAATTGTTTTGGTTTTTAAAAAGGATGATTGGATGATTCTTTATTTTTCTGAATGATAGGAATAGTGATCTCCCTGAGCATTCAAACTAATGCATTTTTATTAACAGTCAGCTAGGAAGATCATAAAGAGAACATGACATGAGACTGCAATCTCCTCCATGTAATGCTGAGGTTGATCCCTGTTTTTTTTGGGGGGGGGCAACTCTGATAACCTTCTGCAACTTCTAATCTGTTTCATTTTTGCCGACTAGATTATCTGATCTGGCAATTATTTGGATAGCAGCCTCAGTATACTCACAAGTTGTCAACTGGCATGGAAATTAAATACGTCAGAAAAGAACTGTCATCTGGAAAATCAAACTATCATTTGGCAAATAGGTTGATGAATGAAATAAAAAAGCCAGGATAACCTGCCATTTTATTACAGTACATTACAGCTCTATCAACCCTTTTACTTGAGAAGGAAAAGCAAGCACAGAACAATAAGGACATTCATGCATTAGTTTCTGCATAACCATGCACACTAGAGGTCCTATTAAAACTATTATCTTCACTGGCATGTATAGAAAGATAATGCCAGTATTCCTAGCATAACCAAGCTCTTACCATTTGTTCCTTTGCGTAAGCAATCAATGCCCAGAGCAGAGTTGCTTTCTTTCACTTGTCGAGCTCGCACCGCTGTCATAGTCTGAATGGGATTCATACCACTGTTCTCAGCAAGTGCCATTGGAATAACTTCTAGAGCATCAGCAAAAGCCCTCATGGCATACTGCTCCAATGACGGACACTATGAGAGTAAATATGAAAACTCAGTTTCAATGGGTCAGAACAAATATTATTTTACAGTTTAAAGTTTTAACAGAGACACATATATTTTAAAGAGAAAGGAAACACTAACTGGATTTTTCTTATTTACAAAAATCTACTCCTTATGAGTCATTCCTCTCAATGATACACTATGTAATGCTTTGGTATATTAAACCATTTAAAATACAAAATCTTCAAAGCATGGATAAATGGGAAAAAAGTAATTTTCTTTAGTCCAATATAAAACAAATTCTAATTAAAACTAAATCCTCAATACAACATAATCTTTAATCTTGTAAGGAAGCAACTATTTAGATGTTTGACATGGCATATTACTGAACTATACTCATCACTGCTGCAAAGATGTTCAAAATTTTTGTACAATCACTACATAGCACACCCAAAATGGTCTGCAACATAAATTCAGTTCCATCCCATCTAGCAGTTTTCAGTTTTATTCTATTCCCTTCTAAGGAATCTGTGGTTCCCTTCAAGCCATCCAGCATTTTATCCCTCTTGTGAAGTATCTAAGTGAGAGGCAGAGAAAAAAAAATACAGTAAGACTGCAGTATCTGTGGGGGGTTGGTTCCAAGCTCCCTTGCAGATGCTAAAAAACATGGTGATGTTGATTGCTATACATTGTATGGTCTTTGGCTCCCTCTAATGGCCAGTTCTGGTAAATATATATAAATAAGTGTGTCTGGAGTGTTTTATTTAGTATTTTCAGCCAGTGGATAAATGAATTAGCAGATACTGATAGACAGGCCCTACTGCATTGATCCAAAGCAACTGACTCAACATTATGACTGAATACTCATGATTCTGTTCAAATCTACATGTTCCACGTTCGTTCTACACTAGTGATTAGCTGGAACTAAATAACAATATTTTGAAGATATTTTGCATGGAACTATATAAAACATTTTCTTTACAGCAGTGGTTCCCAACCCCGAGTCTCTTGTGCCCATGCCAGCACAGTTGGTGAGAAAATCTCTGAGAGTTACAGGCCAAGAACATCTGGAGGCACAAGACTAAGAGCCTCTACTTTACAGAAAGAAATCTACAGTTAATGACATTACTGCAAGTTTTTTTTTTAATCAGCCCATGGAACAATCCACCCCAGTAAACTACAAGCATAAAACTGATATAACTACAATATACTGAAGAAAAGTACAGTGCTGCTATTTGCTGGTGTTTCACCATAAACTATGAGCAGAAGCAAAATAGAATGCACACTATAGTATTTCAGCATTTAGTTTTGGATTTGTAGAATCAAAAGTTATTAAGTATAACACATATCTTTTCTTTTACCTTATCTGCAGTTTCACTAACAGCCAGGGCACAAGAAATCTCCGAAGCACCTCCACCATAAACAATGCGGTTATCACGGACGAGATTTCTGATCACGCACAATGCATCATGAAGAGACCGTTTAGCTTCTTCAATTATCTAATCACAAAAGGCAATTACAGATGCACATAAGGAAAAGGCTATATCAAACTTCTAAGAAAACCAGGCTAAACCAAAATTTCCAAAAGACCATGGTCACAATCCTCTAAAATACAAACTAGCCTTGGTACACCCAAAATAATTTGTATGTAGGGATGAAACTAGGTAATGGCAAATTAATTAGATTAAAGCAATAGAAGACCCTGCTAACATTGTTATTCTACATCACAAATTGGTAGCTATTTATCTTGGCACTGATGGCACTCTGGGCCATGAGAAATGCAACAATCTTTTCGAAATGCATGCAGTTGTTAAGGGATATTGGCAGCTAAAAACAAGGCTAAATTTAAATAAGGCATGTACTTAATATAAAAATTAAGGAAGTCAATTAAGTGATGAAGAGACTTAAACTAATCTATATTAAGAGGGTGGAAGTTTCAGCTGGGAACAAGAGAAACAGGACCTACTAACTAATTAGGGTCTTGTGTACAGCAAGCAAGCATATTCATTTGTTTCTGTGTGGACTTTAAATCCTAGAATTCTCCATTTTGGGAGTTCCACTTGCCAGAGAGATGCCAAAACTGTACTCAAGTGGAAGAAGTCTAGGCTGGAAGGCCTCCTGGCCCAGGCTAGGCCTAGCTCAGGCCTCTTTTCTGTTGGAACTCCCAGCAAGTACCAGGACAGATACTTTTTCTAACAGCAACATAGGCCTGAGCTGGCCCACCCAGGGCCATGATCCAGATCTAGTCCAAATCATAATCATTTTGTTAAACTCTCTCTGCAAGAATCCAGGAAGAGCGGAAAGGAAAGACTCTCTAACATTCTTTTTCCATCTACAGAGGGAAATTCTAGTTCAACATAACTTTACCTCATGAATACGCATTTTCAAGTACCAAAGAAAGTTTAGTCTATCCACTTTAGAATAGAATGTTTAAGTCACTATCCAGACAACCCCCCCATTGCATTTTCAGATAAATGGGTTCTTAAAATCCTACAAACATATTATATACACACATAAACTCAATTAAGTGAATGGCAACGGAACTGTTGTGCTTTTAATACAAGTGGCATCCAAGAGAACAATTCTTCTACTGAGCACGTAATCATACTTTCCCTGCTAACTGTGTGCCATATTTTATTGAGAGAAAGGCCAGCCTACTGATTAAAACAATAATCTACTCTCTAATGCTCTGCCATGAACTTTTCCTGAACTCTGAATACATTTCATAGGTTGCCAATTCTAAAAGCTGGACGTGCATATTAATACAGATGAATGCACTTCTTGCTGCAACGAAGGAACTCACACTAAGGCAATCAAAGAAAAAAAACCATAAATATATTTAACAAGCTAGTAAACAATTGCTGGAAAAAGTACCCAATGAAATCAATTCACTCACCATTTTATTTCCACCTCTAATGAAGATAGTCACAGCTCTGGAATTCTGGCATTCTTCTATTATGAGCATTTTGTCCTTTGTTGTTCCAAATGAGATTTCTCTGACAATGCCAGCAAATCCTAATTTTTCAGGGGTGAGCTCACAGAAACGAGGTACAATGCGACCTCCAGTTGCAATGGCAATAAGCTGAAAGCAATCAAATAAAACCATGACAAAGAGGAAGCCTTATGTAAAGAAACAGAGTAGTGAAGGATTCATACTTACTTCTATTTCAGGGCCACCAACCCAGCGAACAGCAGGCAGCTCATTTTGAAGCAGCAAGTGGTTAGCCTCATCATCAAATCCCCACTGGCAAATGGCTAGGTTCGCACCTGTGTCTTTGATCTGAAGATACATAAATTTATTTTACTTCTATCTTAGCTCTTCCTTTATAAATGCTGAGAGCAGTTTAGGTGGAATGCTGAAGCACTTCCCTTTTAGAGAACAATAATGACAATATTATCACATCATGAATTACCTGGCATAAATCAGAAAAATCTACAGTGATGAGAAACCATCTAGATTTACATTTCGCATGGGCAAGCCGACCACATTTGAAATTTAATCAATGTAATTTAATTTCCTTTTAGCACTGTCAGGTGCAGGAATTATAGCGTCCTGCAGAACACTCTCCTCTTACAGAAACATATTAGACAAATGTATTAAAATAATATTTTATAAGCAATAATAGCCTTTCCTGATGCAAGATTTGGATAGCCAGGGAGCACTATTTTCAGAATGTAATCCATATCTCTTACTACAAAAGTCCCTGTTACATAAGAAATACCATTACATGCCATCAAGTCAAAACCAACTTATAGACACTCTAACAGGTCTTTCAAGGCAAATGAGATATTTAAGGAGTGGTCTGGCCAAATGGGGTTTCAAACGCAGGTCTCCTGAGTTACCCACACCACCATATTGGGTAAATATTATGTAAAGTATTATTCAAGTATTAATTGTCATAAAAACTAAGAATAATATCTACTGACATTCATGGCAATGTACAAATGGGTTTGTCTGGCATATAAGCAAGCACATCAAAACAAGTATGAATCATTCCAACCTGTTTCACCATCTCATTGAACTTATCCTTTTCATATTGCTGCAATGCTTTGTAGTCTTCCACAGATGCAACATCAAGCTTATGCTTAGTTTTTGGCTTAGGAGGCTCAAATGGGCAAGTAAGAATTGCTATTTTAGCATTTTTAACTTCCTAGAGGGAAAAAAAGATAAATTTTAAATAGGCAGCAGATCTTTCTTAATGACTAGAATTTTTCTCATACATAAAATGTGATTTTCAAAAATATTTTAAATAGGCAGCAGATCTTTGATTCTTAATGACTAGAATTTCTCTCATACATAAAATGTGATTTTCAAAAATAATTAAGACGATGAAATAAACAGCATCAGAGAAACAAAATATGTACAGTGGTGCCTCGCATAACAAGCGCACCGTATAACGACGAATCCGCATAGCGATCCTTTTTCCGCGGGATCGCTAATGCGGAGGCATAGCGTCGGTCCCTATGGAAAAAACTTGCTTACCGAAGACGGGCCAGGAAGGAGCCGCCGCTGCGAGAGTGATGCGGGGCCACGCTGGCCGGGGAGGAACGCAGGCGGGCAGGCAGGCAGATGGAGGGAGGGAAACAGCGCTCGCTCGCTCACCACCCCCCGCTTTCCCTCTTCCTCCTCGTCCTTTCCCGCTTTCCCTCTTCCTCCTCCTCCTCCTCCCTCTCCTGCCGCTGGCGGGCAGAAACGCAGGCGGGCAGGCAGGCAGATGGAGGGAGGGAAACAGCGCTCGCTCGCTCACCACCCCCCGCTTTCCCTCTTCCTCCTCGTCCTTCTCCTGACGCCCCCAGGGAGGAAGGCAGGCGGCGAGGCAGGGAAGCCGCGCATTCGCGCGTCCTCCCCCCACTTTCCCTCTTCTCCTCCTCTTGCCGCCGCCCCCCAAGCCTCCCACCAAGTCGGGCGATCAGCTGTTAGGCGGTTCCAAAATGGCCGCCGGACAGCCGAAATGGCCGCGCGCAGCGTTTGCGCGCCCTCCCCGCGCTTACCGAGGGCGCGAAAATGGCTGCCGCTATGGAGGAAACTTCGCTGAACGGTAAGTTTAGGGCCCATTGGAAGGCATTAAACGATGTTTAATGCATTCCAATGGGCTTTTACGTTCCGTTTAGCGACGATTTCACATAGCAAGGGTTAATCCGGAACGGATTAACCTCGCTATGCGGGGCACCACTGTAGTTACTTCTATTACAAGCATACATCCCACCATGAACCAAAATAATCACTTACTTTAGGCATCTGTGGGTGACTGAAGTCTTTATCCACAATCACACCTTTTACCAGCTGGGTGTCCTCCAATCTACCACCAACTTTGCCCTGAACTTTGATTAGCTCAAAATCAACATCTCTGCGTTCCATGTCTGCCACAGTCAGAATTGCATTTACAGCTATTTCTGCCATTTGTCTGTGGCAACGGTTAATTCTAAATGAGAAAGATTTGCTTCAGAATAAACAGGGCATAGAACAAAACCAAAAAAGTCTGAATGTTATAACATCCTAACATCTCCTTGAAAAACTGAAATCTATACTATCAATACATCTTTAAACTATGCCGCAGTAAACTCATGCTAGGTTTAAGAACTTCAGGGATTTTTTGAAAAATCTTATTTAGCTCAGCAATTTTTATTCCAAAAGGACAAATGATCCAAAACTGTCATCTGTGAGGAGCTGTCAATATGCTGCCCTGTAGGAAAGGCTAGAAAATAACAAACGGGCTGCTCTTGCTCTGGAAGCACTCCTGAACCGGCACTCTGTTCTCCAACCTCTTCCACTTTTAGGAAGGAAAACATGCAGGCAAGTGAAAGTTGTGACAGCTTCTGCTTCTTCTCTCTTGCTCACTCAGTACTGTGTAACAAGATGGATTGCACCCATTGTGCTATACTGCTTGCCTGGCTTGTTCTCTGAACAAAGCAACAAGAGATGACTGAAAATGGTGCAGCTATCTCCTCACTTGCTTAACAGCATAATTCATCTGGATTGCAAGACGGGGGGGGGGGGGTATTGGATTACTTCTTTCCGGTACATCACCCAGTGAGTGGATGAACAAACAAGCAGAGGAGGCATATGCTTTCAAGGAGCTATAACCATTACTTTGCCCCCACTTTCATGGCATCAATGGCTGAAATCCTGTTGCTTAGTGAAGTAAGTCACAATTAGAGTAAGTCCACTGAAACAATGGAACTTGCAGAGAAACTGACTGCTTTTCCTCATAATTGATATAAGCAAATTAATTTTTTTTTTAAAAGGACACTTTGATATGACATGCACACTATTTCTACTGTGTTCTTTGTCAAGAAACCGAAAAAGAGCATGATGAAAATAACACGTACTTCAATATTTAATATTTCATGTATTCCCACTGGAACATGGATTTTACCATTTTTCTTTGGGAGCTATTTATTTTTCCATTGACTAATGAAATCAATAATTAATTTCAAGATATATTAATTCCTAGGATTATTTTAAAAACAAACACTGACTTACACTTTAGAGCCCAGAGTTGTCTTTGCTGTCTGAATGAGGGGTTCAGTATTCTGTGGATCAACTGGAAAACTATCACTGATCTTGTCCAGGTGCTCAATGGCGATGCGAGCGGCTTGTTCATAGCCATCTGCTATTCTTACAGGATGAATACCACGATCCAGTAAGTGCTCTGCCTGTTCCAATAATGCACCTGCAAGAACTAGGGACACAGTTATAATGAAAAATGCTGTATCTGCTCCGGCAACTTCATTATTAGAACACCAGCAGTTTAATAGAAGGCAACTGACTCTTTCTTTTAGTTTACAGAAACATACTTGACCAGAGAAATCATTTTCCTGCTACAACCAAGAAAACTCATATGAGTTCTCATATGAAAACACAGAACTGCTATATAAGAACAAAACTATCTAAAAACAGCGGTAAGACATACTACTAAATTTTAAACACTTGCATTCTTACACTTACCTGAGTAAAAGCCACAATGAATTTATTCTAACTAAGCAAATCTAATCATTTTACAGAATCAGTTCTAAATTCATGTAGTTTTAGAGTGGAATTGCAGACAATACTATACAAAATCAACTGGCTAATATCCCTTTACATTAACATTATAGTCAAAAATCAAGTATGCTTCATTGAGTAGACTCTGTCTAAAAGGGCGGGATATAAGTATGCTTCATTGAGTAGATTCTGTCTAAAAGGGCGGGACAGAAATCTAATAAATAAACAAATAAACAAATAAACAAATAAATAAAATTGATTCAGCTGATCTACTCTAGTTGTGACTAACAAATAGGCTTTACCCATTGAACTTTCAAAGATGAAACAAGAGACTATTTGAACTACCAGTGTACCTAAAATATCAATCCAAGTATCACAGTCTATACATACAATGTTTAACAATCACTGCTTAGATTTAGTGTATTTTATATTGGCCAGAATCTTGTAGCAGAAGTTATATAACACAACTTGGATGATGCCATCAGCAGCATACATTTTCAGGGATTAAAGTTCTCTCTCCCATTCTGTAGTTCCTAAAAGCTTCCACAGGACGAAGAGGATCCCTAGGGATCTCCAGAACCTGGGGGAAAAGGGAATAGGAAGCCTTTGATTTCCCTGGAATGGCCACAGCATGGCTGTGGCTGAAGACCTCATCCAAGTTGCACATTATAACTTGACATCAGGATTCCAGCCATTGACTCTGAAATCATTTTGGAAGTTTCCAAAAAATATGATAATACATCCACTCAATCTAGACTTACCAACAACCCCTGTGGTTCCATCTCCAATCTCATCATCCTGGGATTTTGCCAGCTCAACCATAAGTTTAGCAATCTGATGATCCACATCCATCATATTTAAGATGGTGGCACCATCATTTGTCACAGTTACCTCACCATCCTTGTCAACCATCATTTTATCAAGGCCTGCAAGAAACATTTAAAGAGCAGCATCAATACAAATAGCTCTTAAAACCCCAAAGCTTAAACATGTACATCATAAAATAAGTATACTCACCATTGGGCCCAAGTGAAGTTCTGAGTGTATTGGCTACTGCCTTGGCTGCCATTATGTGAGACTATAATAAACACAAGTAAAGAATTAAAACTTTCACAAATATCAAAATATTTTCCAGTCATGCCACTGACAGAAATTTTTCAAAGACAATCCTGTGCCTTGTTCTATTAAATCTGGGTCCACAGCAGCTCATTAATTGACAGTACTTTTTCTATCGCCAGAACTGGAAGATGGGCTGACGTCCCCTCCATAATTGCAGCCCCAGCACTGCACTAGAAGCAGTTTCTAAGAAGCAGTGAAGGCTCCAAGGGAGTGGAAGAAATTTTTTGCTCTTAACACTGCAGCATAAGTGTGACACTGAATTCAAGTATCACAGCCACATTAGCTAAAACCCTGTTGTTTAGCATAGGAAGTCACAACTAGAATAAGCCCACTGAATTAGTGTGTATTTATGAAGTCAAACCCTCCATAAGCTTACTACACTAAGTAACAATATTTCAACCAGTATTTTTTTCTTTAGCATTTTACACATTGAACTTATGTACATGAGGAAGGAATTTATTCCACAGAGTGTTAACTGAACAGTCAAGCCTGCACTAGAAACTAAAGGCAAAACATTTTACATCTCCAATATGGAGAATCTTTCCTACAATATTCCAAAATGATTTGAAATCTTCAATAAACTCGTACTCTGAAAATAATCTGCAGTATGAAGTCATATGTATGATTCTGATTTAAAGGTTAGTGATCTAGATCAGATGGTAGCAAAAAATGCATGAACTGCATTGGTCAAACAGAAGTTGGATGCAAGGAAAAATTAAATAATTAATAAATGAAGTAGAAATATGAACTAAAACCTCAAGAAGATAAAAATATAAAAGAAACAAGAAACTAGGTAATTTGAGAAAGCTCTCAAACTTTTTGAGAGTACCAAGTTGTAGAAGCCTATCTTAAACATTTTTAAGGAGGACCTTAAGCAGAAAGATAGAAGGTAGCATCTGTTAAATTGAGTGTGAAGTCAGAAGAGATAAAGCATTAGTTCTGCCTGCACAGCCTGGCAGCAGTCTTCCAGAGTTTCAGAGAAGTTTTTTTTTTCCAGCCCTACCTCAGACCGCAAACTTGGAATCTTTTATACATAAACCATATGTTTTATCATTGAGCTTCAGCCTCTTGCCTTTCAGTAAGGGAATAATTCTGGCATAAGCTATTTTGTGTTAATTTACCATGGAGTTGAAACCTTTGCTGCTGCTTTGATAACTCCTAAATAAACTAGAAATTTATAATCCAGCAACAAACCTATGGTTAGTGCTGTTTTACAAATCTTGGCTTCTGGGGAGCAACAAACCAAGGTCTATCAAGGTTAGGATCTCATTCAACATTAGTTCTTGCCACTTAGTTTTTTTCATAATTGCACAAAGCAAGAATAGACAGGCTTCTTATTTAGCATGCTGTTTATTTCAAAATAAACTAGAATAAGCCAGGCCTGTTAATTACTATACAATATTGCACTGCCAAAATATTAAAGATCTTTACAGCAACACTGCAGACCACGCTAATACAAGGCAGCTTCAGTTGCTTTGTGGTCTTTAATGTCATATTTTAAACCTCTGTACAAGGTATCACTGAATCCTATCACCCCACCCTTACATTATTTCTGATATTTAACCCAAGAGATCCAAAGCACATTATTTAAATATTATTAGAATGTTTAAGATAGGCTTCTACAACTTGGTACTCTCAGGAGTTTGAGACCAGCCACAGCCATCAATGGTCAGATATGGATGTTGTATCTGAAGTATCTGGAGGACTCCAAGCTGGAGAAGGATAGCTGAAGTAGCAAAAACATATAATAATATTAAATGACTATAGAACACTTTCCTGTAGATACTGTGTTTGAACATAATTAAAGCAATCATTACAGCAATCCTACTAAATAGGCCAATACTAGGTTTATACAGTGGTGCCTCGCTAGACAGTTACCCTGCATGACAGTTTTTTCGCTAGACATTGACTTTTTGTGATTGCTATAGTGATTCGCAAAGCAGCGATTCCTATGGGGGAATTTCGCTGGACAATGTTTGGTCCCTGCTTCGCAAACTGATTTTCCCTAGACAACGATTTTGACGGCTTCCTCCGCGCTCATAAAACAGGTGTTTTCGGGACCTAAGCTTCGCAAGGCAGCGATTTAAACAGCTGATCGGCGGTTCGCAAACTGGCTTTCCTATGGCGATCTTCGCTAGACAACGAAGATTCTTCCCCATTGGAACGCATTAAACAGATTTCAATGCATTCCAATGGGGAAATGCTTTTCGCTAGATAATGATTTCGCTAAATAGCGATTTCAGTGGAATGGATTATCATCATCTAGCGAGGCACCACTTGTAATGTTGATGGCAGTAATAAGCTGCACTGTGAGGCTGGCTTCAAACACAGTGTGTGTATCTGTTCCACAGCATTTGAATAATGCTTTTTAACTTAACCTTCTACAAAGCAATTTATAGCAATTTTTAAAAACCCATCTGTAACGATTAAACAACTTGAAAACACAAGAGTTCCCATGCAAATTTATATGTTTGGGAGGTTAACAGAGCGTATATCTGATCTGATTCTTCAAACCTATCCAGAACTCAGATGCATCATCATCACCCTAACTTGAATATGGCAATTTTGCAGCCTCATTCGGCACCACCTGCAGAATTAAGTTGGCAGGGTCGGGAATCAGTACAAAGGATCGTGTGCCACTTAACTTACAAGGAGGGGTAATATCATTTTTAAATAATATTAAACCCCCTTTGAAAATGCCATTTTTAGCACACTGTACTAAAAGGGCACCTATCCAACCCTGAAGTGACACAGCCAACGTCGCATGGAGGAACCTTCGGCCTGATGGAGAGGAAACATGGGATGGGGCTACAAGGGAAGGGTGGGGAGAGCGGAGGTGAAAGGTGCGAAAGACCCGCAGAACTCGGCTTCGGGTCCTCTCAAGAGACGCTCAGGACCCGCCACCGCCCCAGCCCGGCAAGGCCCGGCGGCCCCTCCCCAAGCCCCGTTCTTTCCCGGCCCCAGGGCTTACCTTGAGGGCCTCTATTCCGGTACTGCGGGTTTTCCGCTCCTGGTCCTTCAGGATGAGGAACGGCCTCCCGTACTCGTCAAACGCCAACGTCCCCATGGCCGACATGGCGGCGACGGGAGGAGATGGGAAGGAGGCGAAGGCCCGACGAACGGCAAGGAGGGAAGAAAGAAACCCGCGTGGACAACCCCAGCAACGAGTTTCCCCTGCCGACCACTCTCGTTTCTCTTCTCGCGAGAGTGCTCGGTGGGTGGAATCTGCGCATGCGTCGCCGACCGCCTGCCTCACAGAGAAGCTGCTGCGTGAAATACGCGCAGGCGTGGTTCGTGTGTTCTGGAAGCGTCCGGTGAAGTGTGCGCAGGAAGGCGCACGCGCGCGTTAGCAACGCCAGATGCGGAACGTAGTAGAGAACCGGAAAAAAGATTTAAGGGATGCAGAGCCTGAACTTCGGGTAACTTTTGAAACTCTTGGATAGCCATAATTCTTTTTTATTAGGATATCTGTCCGTATGGAGCGACTTCCCACTCTGGGGATCGTTGCGCTAAATCTGTTTTGTTTGCGGGGTTGCTACCTTGAGAAGGGAGTCATTTCTGCTAATGCTGCTATTCTGTATCCACTTGACCTGGGGAAAAGCTTCACTGGACTTCTGTTTATGTACAAGTATTTTTTAGGATTCTGCGATAAATAATTTTCTGTGCAGAAATCGCTTAGTTCTTATCAGTACTTCCCTCGAAAACCAAATTAGTTTTCTTCTCGGTTTAGTAGTTCCAAGGAAGTACTTAGTACAGTGGGGTCTCTACTTAAGAACTTAATCCGTATTGGAAGGTGGTTCTCAAGTTGAAAAGTTCTTATGTTGAATCTGCATTTCCCATAGGAATGCATTGAAAACCATTTAATCCGTGTCTGCTCTTTTCCGTCCATAGAAACTACTGTAGAACAGATCTAGATTTCAGAGGACTATAGGTTAATAACATCGGTATTAATGATAACGATCTGCCTTAGAGCTACAGGCTGACTACAAGGTAGCTTTCGACTCTGCATGGATCTTCATCAATCAGGGTAGGACAGACATGGGTGTGGTGCAGAAGAAAAATTGAAAAGTCCAAAACCCATGGCCGGACTTGTGGGCTTGACTCCTTTGTTTAAGGCAAGTTCCAAAAGGGGAGCTGTAAATTTCAGATTTCTGCTCTGGAGGCTTAGATTAGAATATATCTCCCAGTCCTGTTAAACAAAATGTTGGCAGATATTTAGGATTCTACTATGGCCCTGCATTGAAACACATGGATCTATTTTGGCTGAAAGCAGAGAGACCCAGAAATGTGGCAAATCCCATATTAAATAAGGTGGAGTAAATTTAGGCAAAACACAGAATAAGCCAATTGCAGTCAAATTTAAAGTATTGTAGTGGTTTGAAGCTTTTGTCCACAGTTCTCATTCATACCCCACCTTTCTCCTTAAAAAGGACCCAAGGCATTGAAAGACAATATTTAAACTTGAAAACAATAAGTAGACAATGATGGTTAACATAGTTAAAAGACAGCATTAAAGCTAAAAACAATAAGTATACAAAATATTTTTTGAAAATGCATTCAGAGAAATGGAAAACAAAATGGAAAACACAAGTAGTACTGAAATCCAGTCAGAGCTGTAATGCATAACAATCCATCTAAAAACCACACAACAGGTAGCTAGTTCTGCTTGAGCTATAGATGGTGCTCTGGTACACTAGATAGTACTTTAATACTTTGGAGAAAATTGACGGGAAAATATGTTCAAAGTATTGGAGGAATGCTTTACAGATACTATGAACATCCAGAAAGACAGGGTGTGTGGTTGTAAATCAAATCAAAGAAGTAGAGGAGTGCAACAAAAGGGGAAAAACATCTCTTCCAGAAGATAAAAGAAATGAAAGGGAAATGTAAGTTTAGATTAGGAATGCTCAATGAGCAACAGGGAGGGTTGAAGGCAGCAGGGACACTATCTGACCAGGAGAAAATAAAGAGATGGATACATTTTGCTTAAGACATAAAAGGATGTCTCCTTTGAAGAGAAATCCTGTGATAGAGATGCAGTAGTTTCCGAAAATGAAGTAAAAGTTGCTCTGAAATAAATCACCAGGAAAAGAGCGGATACCAATACAGTATAACTATTCCAGACTGTACCTGTCAAAATCCTAACAAGAATATGCCTGCAAATATGAAAAGCAAAACAATGGCTCACAGACTGAAAATGTTCAATATATATTCCAGTCTCCAGGAAAGAAAATACCAAAGAGTGCAGTAACTATTGCTTTAATTTCCCATGCAAGCAAAGTGATGCTCAAGGTTTTGCAACAAAGGGTTTTTACTTTATATGGAGATAGAAATGCCTGATGTTTAAGCTGGATTCCAAAAAGGAACAGGCACAGAAGCTCACCCTGCAAGTATACACTGGCTACTGGAGCTCACCAAAGAATGTCAGGAAGATCAGTCTATGTTTTGTAGACTCCAATGAAGCCTTTGACTATGTGGATCATGGGAAACTGCGGGTTGTTCTGAAAGAAATGGGTGAGCCTTCACACCTCATTGTCCCAATGCATAACCTTTATTCTGGACAAGAAGCTACTGTTCAGACAGAAATTAGAATAGTTTCCTATAGGCAAAGGTGTCAGACAAGGGTGCATTTTCTCCCCTTACCCATTAAATCTGCAGGCAGAACATATACAGAAAGCTGGATTAGTTTCAAATGAAGGAAGAGTGAAAATTGATGGGGAAACCCCCCCAGTAATTTAAGATATGCAGATGGCACCATCTTACTGGCAGAAAGCAGCAATGATTTGAAAAGACTTAGTGAAAGTGAAATAAGACTATGCCTAACCCTAAGTAAGATGCACATGAAAAAACAATGCGAAAATACAGAACTTCAATATATTCTCCCCTCCCCAAAAGGTAAAGGTTCCCCTTGACAATTTTTGTCCAGTCGTGTTCGACTCTAGGGGGCAGTGCTCATCCACGTTTCCAAGCCATAGAGCCAGTGTTTGTACGAAGACAATCTTCCGTGGTCACATGGCCAGTGCGACTTAGACACGGAACGCTGTTACCTTCCCACCGAGGTGTTCCCTATTTATCTACTTGCATTTGCATGCTTTCGAACCGCTAGGTTGGCGGGAGCTGGGACAAGTGACGGGCGCTCACTCCGTCGCATGGATTAGATCTTACGACTGCTTGGTCTTCTGACCCTGCAGCACAGGCTTCTGCGGTTTAGCCCGCAGCGCCTCCACGTCCCTTCCCTCCCCCAAAAGACAGCAGTAAACATAGGGGAGCATGCTTTTAAAAAAATCGGAGTCCAATGTGTATACAAGTGAATGGACCATGATACCTGTTCTTGTAACTAGGGCTTAAAAGAGGATCTAACACAGCAGGTTAAATAGAATGATGGTGAATTTGAGCTGCAAATCTAAGCCAGTATCTGTGTTCATCTTGCAATATTAACAGTAAACTACATACTGTAGTTTAGCAACAGTGCTCCCTCTGCTGTATTGGTATAGAACTTATTAACCACAATTCATTTGAAATTCATTGATTTCAGTGTATTCACTTAATTAAATGAATTCTCTGGTTTCAAAGTAAGGTAGTTTGTAATTTTCAGAGAACTGGTGAAATAAGAGATGTAATAATTATTTTTCTTTTTGCCATTCTTCTGCCCCACCTGTTGTAGGTTCTCCAAGTTATAACCTGGCAACTTTATTCTGAACTTCAGTGCAGTCTTGTGGATCTCTATTTAGAAGTAAATCCTTGTGGTTTCAGTGGAATTTAAACAAGGGCGTATAAGATTGTAGTATTCAGTTATAATTTGACAGAATGATTTATCTAAAGCCTTGCAGCAGTATTTATCTTTTCTTTACCTCTCTTCTTGCTCTTCCTCCTTTCTCTTCACTAAACATCATTTTCTTCCTCTCTCAACCTGTTAAAAAATTCTTTTTAAAGCAAATGATATTGCTACTGATAGATCAAGGCTTGGTTTCGTTGTTGGCTATGGCCACAAGTCAAACATCACTATTCTGTTCAATTATGAACAATAAATGTATGTTGCCCAGTAAAAACAAGAAGATCATCATAAAAGAATTCAGTAAACAGTAAAATGTAAATATACAGAAAATTAAGCAGAAAATAAAAGCAGTACAACAGAAAGTAAATGTCTTTCCACTTGCTTGGAGCATCCAGAGAAAGCTCTCTGTAAGGATTATCTCAGCGTCGGAATGTATGAGAAGGTGGCCCTTCAGGTAACCAGCTCCCAAATCATGGGTGAAAACCAGTAACATGAATTGAGCTTGGAATGTAATGGAAGCTAGTGCCAATACCAAAGCACCGATACAGTGTGTTCAAGTTATCCATGCTTAGATTCAGTCTTGCAGTCCTAGTCTAAACTAACTATACCATCCACACCATTTCAAAAGGTGCCTCATGTAGACTGAATCATGGAAATCCAAACAGAATTTGAATAACAGAGCACGAATAATTGTAGGAAGTATATTTCCATGCAGTTGGGGTATCAGTTGAGGATGATAAAAAAGCACATTGGGCTTGAAATTGTTAAATTTCACTGGTGGTTCTGCTGGCAAATCCTGCATGTCTGTGTATTTCCAAGTTATCTATGACCTTGCTTCCTAGCCATATCATGAGCATCGTCATGTGTTTTGGCAGATACAGTATTTGGGGCAACTATAACCCCATTCAGGCAGTTAGAATAAGGCTAGCCCGGGCACATGAAGAGACTGAGCTGATAAGTCCTGTCCTCCTCCTGTCATGGCATGGCTGGCTTCATTTAGAGAATAGTCATCTGAAAAGAAGAACTCTGCCAAAAGTAAAAAGAGAAATGCCACATGATCTGGAATCCTGAAAGGACTGCACTCATAGCAAAAGCAAAGTGTGCTGCTTTCATTCCACCTTATAGTGCTTGAAGTGGTTTACAGTTTAATTATGCAGACTAAATATTGCCCCCCTCCCCCATAGCGAGCTGGGTAGTAAATTCACCAACCTTGGAAGGATGGAAGGCTGAGTCAACATTGGGCCGGCTACCTGGGCCCATTGGGATTAAACTCAGGTCATGAGCAGAGTTCTGACTGTAGTACCACAGTTGTTGTTGTTGTTGTTGTTGTTGTTGTTGTTGTTGTTGTTGTTGTTGTTGTTGTTATTTCTATGTCACTTTTATCATTGCGCTGCGAGGCTCCAAGGCTCATAGGGGATACTGTCCTTTTCAGATTTTTACATCAATTGAAGAAAGTGGGAACTGAGGGAATGGGAGTAACATGTTCCCTATTTTGACATATTCAGAGATAATGCTATCCCAAATACTTGCATGAGGTTTCTAACAAAGAGTAAGCAACTTCCAGAGGTTTGGGGACTGGACCTCAAGGTTTCTTTCCCAATATCCCAATGTCTTTAAAAGACCTTTTGCACCTTCTGAGGGTGCAGGAGGCAATTTTGCCACATCTGCGCAAAGACCTGCTTTAGAGCCAGTAGGGATTTTCCCTAAAACTAGAAGCGACTGGAGGATATTATTGCTTTGGGGGGTTGAGGGGAGGAAATGCCTCGGGCCTAAAACAAGCTAATGGGAGGGGAGGAATGTGGCAGAAATGCTGCCTGTGTACCCTTGAGACCCTGCAAAGATTTTTTTTAAAAGAGGAAGGAATAGGAATATGGTGGGCATGGTGGGAGCCCCAGGAAGGATTGGATGTACCACGCAGGCTGCACTGTGTTGAAAGCAAGGATAAATAATGAGCTGCAACAATCACCCTGTGACTCTTTGAGAGCTGCATGCTTCCTCTAGTGCTCAAACCATTCCAGTTTGCTACTGACATTCAGTAGTAGCTGCAGTGGCAGTGCGGTGCAGGCAGATGCCAAAATCACTTCATGGGAGCCCTGAAAGGCTGTGGACCAGAACAGTCTCATAGGGTTCCATTGCAACGGAAGCAGTTGCAGAGTGAGGTTGGAGGAGAGGCCCTATGCTGCATTTTGGAAGAGGAGAAATGCCAGGAAGGGATTGGTGGTCCAGTTCTGCTTGTCGTGGCAGCACTAGCTTTGATGTGTATTCTCAATGTGAGTACGGCCAACCAATAGGAGGCATGTGGAGTCTGCGTTGTGTTCCCTGGTATAAAACATTTCACATCCTGAAAAATGTCCATTATGAACATATACTCCATTCCTATTCAGATGTAAGTCTGCTGAAATCAGCAGGCTGCGGTGTAGCTAACCCTGCATAGGATAGAGCAGGGTTCCTTATTTTAAAATCTCTGGTCTATATCTGGCTGAATCCATAACCAAACATGACACATCTTCTAGCCAGCTGTATTTCAGTATCGCTGTTCTTTATACAGCCTGACTTGACAGTCATGCTTTTCAGTGGATGCTTGTACATCGCTGCAGGGCAAACACAGCACAGCAGGATTGGCAGTGAAAACAAATATCCTAATCCTGTGCCTGTTGAATTTACTTATGTGTAAGTCTCATTGAAATAAGTAGGACTGAACCTCTGTGTACACGAGCACTGGATCAATCTGAAAGTGTCTGAGCACTTAATAAGTCTGCTAATGCATTCAAAAAGAGCTCATGTTGTTTGTTAGTTTCAAATCTGCTTTTTTCCTCTTTTAAAATAGGATTCAATTTTATATATGAACATTAGGATTATTGATGTTGGAGCCCTGATGAATTTTTCAAAGAAATGCCCAAAGGAGCATTACTGAAAAGAAATCATCCTCCTTTATTCGGATATCGCCAGACTTGAGAAGTATGTATTAATATTAGATTAGGTAGGTAAATTTTATAGTATTTGAATGAGCCCAGTTGATGTACAACCCCGTTCCTCTCGTAATTCATTTTTGTTAATATGATTTGAGGCAGTCTCATCAAGAAACAAAATCCTAAAATGAAATTGCTGTTATAAATTAGAAAGCAACTGCATGTTCCAGCCAAAGTCAGGCAATTTTAAGCCCCACTGATTTTAATAGGAGATATTTAAGCACTCACTTAACACAACATATAATTAACAAATGCACTCGGCTAGCAGAACATGTGGTGACCTGCCATGGCTTAGATAACTTTAAAGGTGGATTATACAAACTCATGGGCAATCAGCTTATCAATTAGGCCTGACATCTAAACAGATCCTCCTTGTTAGAGAACAGTTTACCTCTGAAAAAGGAGCAAACGGTTACAGAGGATTGTTGCCTTGGTATATGGTGTATTGTCTTCTCAGAAGCCTTGGGCTGGCGACTGTTAGGATCAGGATACTGAAATGTCACTCTCATACAGCAGGGATCATCTTGCTGAAGTGAGGAGCTTAAGAAGTTAAATATAATATATACGGTATTCCCACTTTTATGCAGAAAAAATATCCCCCTTTCTCCAGGTTCCTTTGTTATGTCGAAAACACTTCCCGGAAGCTGCACAGTCGAAGATGCTTTGCCTTTGGCGATCCCTGATCGAGGTTCTAAACCAAGGAACTGGGGTTTACTGCTCACCAGCGTGATTGGTGGATCATTAGTGGCCTTGTATGCCGTTACCACTCCATTTATTGCTCCAGCACTGAGGAAACATTGCCTGCCGTTTGTGCCTGCCACTTCAAAGCAGATGGAATATGTCCTGAAGATGCTGAAAGGCAGACATGGGTCCCTGGTTGACGTAGGGAGTGGCGATGGCCGCATCGTAAGTGAAAGGCAGCTTCTGCTTTGTTTCACATGAAATTGATGGGGAAGCCAAGCAAGTGTATGTTGACTTACGCAGCACAGTGCTAAAGGCATGTATATGTTTTGCTCATGACAACAACTGGTGAATACACAAGAGTAGTCCTGTACTGATGTAGACACTTGATCCACCTAGGTCAGTTTTATCCACCCTTGCTGGCAAAAATTCTGACGCAGAGTCCTTTCACTGTCCAGGGATCTATAGCTTGTCCTTGAGATCCAGAGTGCCAAAAAGTTATTTTTGTACAGAGAGTCTGGTAATGTTAGTGTTAAAAGGTAACTCATGCTCTGCTTAGTTCTTTTAACTAAGATACCTGGGGACTGACTCAGTGAATGCGCACATGCAAATATGTGCTCTGCCTCTAGTTTATAAAGTAATGAATTAATTGATTCTGCCTTCTAGTGATCCTTCTGAGGATTTCCTAGGTATAAAGAGCTCAGAAGTGGTTAGGATTTCCTAGGTATAAAGAGCTCGGAAGTGGTTTATAGGTCTCTTCTTCTGGGGCACTCTGGGAGGGTGCAGATCTCTTCTTCTGGGGCACTCTGGGAGGGTGCAGTTTATGGTTGATTTTTTTTCTTCCAGGAAGTATGGTGGGGAACCAGACTCTTAACCTCTGCTTTTGCAAATAGATAACCAACTCAGTGAGCCATCTAGACAACCAGCTGATGGAATAGCTAGTACAGTGGGGTCTTGACTTGAGAACTTAATCCGTATTGGAAGGCGGTTCTCAAGTCAAAAAGTTCTCAGGTCAAATCTGCATTTCCCATAGGAATGCATTGAAAACCATTTGATCCGTATGTGCTCTTTTCCGTCCATAGAAACTAATGGGAAGCTGCTATTCTGCCTTCGACCACTAGAGGGGGATATTTTGTTTCTTTTTTTCTTAGGTCAAGAAAGGTTCAGGGAAGGCAGGGAAAATACAGTCCAGGCAGTACAGTACCAGGCAGTCCGAAGACTGTCTCCCAATCCACTCTCTAAACGCTGGGAGGAGTGAGGAAGCAGACAGGCACCCTTTTCACTGGCCAACAGTTAACTGAAAGTTCAAATTTTGCACTTTCCCTGCCTCCCACGTGGTTTTTTTTTTCAGTTCTTAACTCAAATCTAAATATGTAAGTCAAGTCAATATTTTCCTATGAGAGTGGTTCTTAAGTCAAAATGTTCTTAACTCAAGCTGTTCTTAAGTCAAGACCCCACTGTAAAGCCACCCAACGGCAACCCAGAGACTTCCACCTTTATTTTGAAATCCTCTGGTGGATGGGTAGGGAAGCACCATGGCTTTTTCTGTCCATTCCAGCCATTGCTTTTCCTCTTCCTGAACAAAATTCATTATTTTCCTTAGCCTTCCTTGCGGCTACAGAAATTAGATATCCACGTGTGCTCCAACTATGGGTGAGAAAAAACAAACGAAAGAATGGAGGAGAAAGACTGCTGCCTTGTCTCCTAGTTCATTCTCGCCACAGGAGCATGGGCAGTGGAGGATCAGAATGTGAGAAACTGCACCGCTTCCTCCCCCTTTTTACAGTTGGAGGCTGTGTAGCCTTAAATCAAACAGCTCAGTCCCAGAGTGCCCCAGAAAAAGGGACTGTACACTCTTGAGTACTATATATTTAGAAAACCTTAGAAAGAGTCTCCGTAAGTGAGAAGCGACTTGACAGCATATGATGATATAATCTCATTAGCAAATGGATCTGAAGTGTCAGTGAGTGTGTCTGAATTATTGTCTCTCTTGATATGGGCTTGGGATCATGTTTAACCCAGAGGTAGACAAACTGTGCTCCACAAGCCACAGGGTAGCCCACTTAGGGCTTGCCGTGAGGGCCCTGCCTCACTCCAACTGTCGCCTCACTCCAACTGTCTGAATCCCCACTAACACACACTGAAAAAGAATATGCTGAAAAGGTGACAAATTGCACTAGAGAAACGCCAGGGCAGGGCAAAGTTTGCCTTCCAGTTCAGTTCATGTTTCTAGAAAGGGCCAAGTAGTGAGTGAGCGGGTGGAGGAGGGGGAAATTGCCCCAGTTCTCCTCCGTTGGCCTGCATGGATTCTGTGCTAGTCATGGAGGAGGCCTCACCTTTCATGATCAACACAGAAATGAAGTGAGTGGGTCGGTGAAGGAGTGACCCTCCTTTCTCAGCCAGTCTGCTTGGCAGAAGCTGTCCTTGCCTATGTGAGCAGCAGCTCGTGTTTTCATGCTGGCTTCACTCCTCTGTAGCCAGCATGAAAATTGAGGCTATAACCTTTCAGTAGGCAATTTTTGTTTTGGAGGCTGGTAACATGTGTGGGTTTATTTACAAGGCTGCCATAATACTGCAAATTGAGAAAAGTCTCATATGCTTATTATCAACGAACTGGCAGACCCCATCAAAATGAATTGCTATAGCTATTTCTTTGGTTAACTGCAAAAAAGGGAGGTTTTGCAATTAAGTTGCTTGAACAATGAGAAAGCTTTCTTTTTATGGCTGTAGTTCTAGGCATATGTGCTAGGATGTTAATTCCACTGATTTCAGTATTCATGTTTAAGATTCTATTGCACATTTGTGTTATTGAAAAATATCTTCTCTATTTTTACTAATCACTCTGTTCCAAAAAGAAGTGTGCCAATGAATCTGTTTCTTCTGCTAAGGAAATATTGATTTGTGTCTATTCAGGTAATAGCAGCTGCAAAAGTTGGATTCAGAGCTGTGGGTTACGAATTAAATCCTTGGTTAGTATGGTATTCCAGGTACCAAGCTATGAGAGAAGGAGTCCATCAAAATGCCAAATTTTATATTTCTGACTTATGGAAGGTATGTGTATGTGAACACTTACAAATGACTAATGATGCAAATAGGAAATGGTCAAGTAGAAATACAGTGCAATAAGAGAGTGGTTTTTGCCAGTTTTTTAATGCTTCATGGATACCCATTGCAGTGTAGTGGATGCAGTAATTGATGAGGATTCAGGAAGTCTGGGTCTGAATCCCCACTCAGCCATGGAAACTAGTAAAACTACTCCTCAGATACATCACTTACCTTGAAAGCCTTGTTAGCAAAGTGAATTGAAGGCACATAACGACAACATCGTTGTAACATAGAAGGCTTTTTTGATGGCACTACGAAGATTATTTACTTCTTTCACTTCTCACATTAACTTTTGTAACACTCTCTAGTTAGCTTGTCATTCAAAGCTCTTGAATTCTAAAGCTTGCCCAATTTGTTCTTTTTTGAGTCCTTTGCATTGGCTCCCTCGTCACATACTCTAGTTATATTCATGATGTGATGATGACGTCATCTTAAGGCTATTGAATTTCCAAGGCCTTCATTCTTTTTCTAGCTATGAAGTATAATATTTGGCTGATGAATCAGCTGGCATCCCAACTCTGGAACAGAAAGACTTGGTATAGGGCAGTACAGCATTATTTGAGGCTGGTATAGCTCTCGATAGAGACAATACAGCTCTGAGTCAAGGCCAGGACTCTGCGATGTGTAGTCACTAGAGAGGCAGCAATGGGTCTGGTGGAGGAATAGGTTTCATTCAGTTTTTATACAGAGGAGTTGATCCTTAGGTGGTATAGGTGTAAGTACATTTCCTCACATAAATATTAAGTAGGCAAAGGGTGGAAAGAACATGTTTATAATGAGTCAATACTTAACAACTGTTGTTTTTTTTAAACAGGTCAATTTTTCTCAGTATAAAAATGTTGTTATATTTGGAGTACCTCAAATGGTAAGTTCATTTTATCTAACCATAACCTTGACATTACACTTTTTTACACAGAGAGAGAGAGAGAGAGAGAGAGAGAGAGAGAGAGAGAGAGAGATGATACACACACACACAAAATGTTTAGAGAAACCTCTGAAATCTCTGATAACAAACATGTGGCACAGAATCTTTGTTTCACATTAGGGGAAGAAATTAAATATTCGGAGTCTTCCATTAAGATGTGAAATTTTACAGAGGTCTTTGTATAGAACCTTGTGTAGTGGAGGAATAAAGAAGTCACTCCATTGGGCCTGCAGGTCAGAGATAGCTGGCCTACTTCCAGACCTAGTTCACATTCATACTTTGCACATGATTTTTGAATAGGGCTCTACATGTAGCACTCAGTGAGCACACCACTTAGTATATGGCTCCTTTGCAAGCTTGTGCACATGGATTTTGGGAAGTGATGCAGATTCTGTTCATCAGGTGTACAGTTAGAAACACTCTCAATGTGCTATCATGTGGAAACAGAAAAGATGGGGGTTCTATCAGATTGTGGCTGCGTCACTGACAGGATATGTCCATGGGCAGAATGGGAAAGGGAAAACTATTTCTCAAATTCCTGACCAGAAAAATTGTGGACAGGAGTCCAAAAATTGATGGCACACATCTGAGAGTTGATCCCAGTCCTTTTGAGGCTATGGTTTCAGGCATCCTTTCAGCATGGCTTGGAATCTTTTATACCCCACTCTTAAGAACAAAATAAATCATATTTATATTGGGACACTGCATAAAGCATGTGTCCGAGCACTAAACAGTAATATATGTGGGTATGATATATTGTAACTGGTATAAACAATAATAATAAACAGGATTGATTGATTGATTGATTGATTGATTGATTGATTGATTGATTGATCGATTGATTGCATTGATATGCGGCCCATCTAGACATAGTCTACTCAGGGCGGCTCACAACATATACTAAAAACAATATAAAATATTTAACAGTTAATTTAAAATAAATAGTTCCAGATGGCATAAATCAAAAGAGAGAAAAAAAATAAGAGTCACTTAACTGACTGAAGGGAAGGCCTGCTTGAATAGCCAAGTTTTCAACTGGCTTTTGAAGATGCCCAGCGAGGGTGCCAGCCGAATTTCGGTAAGGAGGATGTTCCACAGCCGAGGGGCCACCGCCAAGAAGGCCCGGTTTCTTGTATTTTCCTTCCGTCCCTCCCTTGACGTCAGACCCCTCAGCCGTCCCTGCTGGCTATGTCGAGTGATTCGGGTAGATCTGGGTGGGAGAAGGCAATCTGCCAGATATTGAGGTCCCAAACCGTTTAGGGCTTTATATGTGATCATTAACACTTTGAAGTCAATGCAGAAATGGACGGGCAGAGCAGCCAGAGTGGGGGAGATATGTTGGTGTTTTCTCACCACACTAAGAATCCTGGCTGCCGCATTCTGGACCATCTGAAGTTTCCGTGTCAGCCTCAAAGGTAGCCTCACGTAGAGTGCATTACAATGATCTAATCTCAAGATTACGAGTGTGTGGTCTAGAGTAGTGAGGGCCCCCCCATCAAGATAGGGTCGCAGCTGGGCAATCCGCCATAGATGACCGAAGAGAGGTTTATTTTTAAAAATAGAATTTTTAAAAGTTAAGTGAATAAATATAAATCAGATTTTAAGAACAATCGTACAAGCTGCCAGGTTCTGTATGATATACCCATAACCTTTTTTTATGAGGGAAATATGTGGAGATCTTTATATGTGGATAAATAGGTATTTTGACAAAAGCTCTAAAATAACAGTGTTGTTCACATCATTCCCCTAAAACAGACCACACACAGCTCTGACTATAACACACCTATTACTGCCTCTCTCACACACAAACCCTTGTGATACAAAATAGAATCTCTCCAGTTACGAACTGTATTAATCAGCCACCTCATCCTTCCATTCACAAACATTTTTCCAACTCTCATCTGTTTTAATTGTCACTTTTGGTACACATCCAGCCTACCACCACCTTTCAGACTCAAGCCACTTGCCGTATATACTCCTACAAACAAAATGTATTTACAGTGTGAAATCACCCCAGCTACAGTACATCTGTTGTTTTTTAGACTAGCGTGCTAGAAATGGCAGTCCTCTCTTGTTTCTCCGAGTGTGTATTTTTCACTCAAACCCAAACCTATTAATTTCCATGAGGTTTCACTAGCCACTCTTTGCCATTTCTTTGCAGTCTTCCCAAAGCCTTTGTTCCATCTCGGTTTTCTGCTATTTTCTCTGTATTATATATTCCCATACATCCCCTGACATGTGTTGTATAATACATGGTCTCCAACCTCCATCCCAAATGATTTTTTGATACCTGAGTATCCTCAAATATGTTAGACATTTAAAAGATGTCTAACATATTATACAACCGTTCAGTCCAGATAAGTGTCCTGAATGTTTAGGGAACCACTTGAGGGGAAGCATGGTCTCTACATCATCTGAAGGGTTTTTTTCTTCTGTATTTCTTCACAGATGCTGCCGCTGGGCGAGAAGCTTGGAGAAGAACTCCAGCAAGATGCCAGGGTCATTGCCTGTCGTTTTCCTTTTCCCCACTGGAGCCCAACTCATACTTTTGGGGAGGGCATGGACACTGTATGGGCATATGATTCAGAATCTTTCAGAAGGAAAAAGGGAAATGGTTCAGTTGAGATCAGTGGTGTTCTTCCTGATTAATTAAAATGCTAGAAACATTGTTGTGGCAGATTTGAAATCTTAAGCGTGGGCATTTTATCAATGACATTATTCCCTGTGTCTCTTAAGTTTCAGGAAGGAGGAATGCAGAAAGAGTTTTGAACACTTGTTTCCAGCCCTCCTGAAATCAAGCAGGACTTTGGTCATGAAAAGGATGTATGCAGGTCTTCCCACCTGCTTCCATCGTGGTCCAAAATTCCACAGTGTTATCTGTCTTAGGACCCTGGAATTGGGTGATGTACATACTGAATTTTAGAAGTTACAAAGGTGTGACTTGCTGGGTTAAAAATGCATTGGTAAAATTCATTCAATAACTTAAAACATTTCAATCAAATATGTAACCAATTCCACCATGCTATTTGTTATAAAAACTGGGTTTTTTGATAATAGCTAACCTTGCTTCAAATATTTGGGTTTAGAATGCTCCATGTCTCCTTTCCAAGGACACAATCTTGTCTGCACTAACTGTGTACTTAACCGAAAGCAGGTTTGTTTTCCTGTCCTGGCCATTGCACACAGAGACACATGTACACCACACCGACCTTTTCCTGTTCAGTCCAGTGATACTTCTTCAGGACAGTCAGTATGAGGACAGACATCTGAAAAACACCCTACATGGTGCAGGACCACAGTGTGGAAACAACAGCAACTGTAAGTGCAAATACAGTGGTGCCCCGCTTGACGATTACCCTGTTAGACAACGAAATCATTTGACGATGAGTATTTTGCGATCGATTTAAAAACAGCTGATTGGCGGCTCTCAAAATGGCTCCCCGCTGTTTTGCTGACCTCATTTCACAAGACAGGGAGCGGAAAATGGCTGCCCTATGGAGGATCTTCGCTGAACAATCAGGTATTCCCCCCATTGGAATGCATTGACTGGTTTTCAATGCATTTCAAGGGGTTTTTTTTCGCTTGACGACGATTTCGCTTAACAGCAATTTTGCTGGAACGCCTTATCATCATCAAGCGGGGCACCATTGTACTTCAGTATTTTAAATGAAGGTTATTTAGTTGATTAAACAGCTTTAGTTAAAGATAGTGCAGTGTTACTACAGATAAGTGCCAAGTGCCGATTAGTCATCCTATTGTCACAATGCTCAGTAGACAAGCAAACAAACAACCTGGAAAGCAGGAGGAGGTTTCCTTACAAAGAAATTATACATAATACTGACTGCATGTTTGTTTGGTGTATCTTTAATTAAAAGGCATAAGCTAGTATCCCCTTGGGTTTGCTGTGCACAAAGTTAAAGCCACAGAAACAGCTATTTTGCAAGCTACCAGTTGTGAAACCAGACATGCAACTGAACTTGGCTATGCGTGGAGTGGATATAAATAGGATACTGGCCCTAGATTTTTTAAAAAATAAATTCTTTTTTAAAAGAATCTAAGAGTTCAAGAAATTCACAACTGTAGGTAAATTAAAAAAAGTTATGCTTTCTCCTGATGTCTCAGTGTGTTCCTGAGACTGTAAGAGGAGGTTGATGAGAAAAGATGGGGGGGGGTGGATTAATCTGGGGAACTTGAAGCCATTCTACTCTGTGAATCCCTGCACTTCTGTTCTGCACCTACAGGAATTTAACCAAACTCCAAAAGTCTGCAGCAAAAACAAATATCTGCATGGGCGCAAAGTTCACATCCTGATTTGAATCAACTGGCCATATTTTCTTTACTATTGGCTTTCAATTAGAACTTCTGGATCAGGCTCCATTTTATTTTTCCTAGAAGTGGGGAAAGTAAATGAATGACTCTTACAAAGACCAGCCACATGGTAATCATGCAACTTCATGTTGCTATTCATGTTGCCTTGTGGCGCAGTGGTTAAAACGCTGTACTGCAGCTAAAACTGTGCTCACGACCTGGGGTTCAAATCCCAGGTAGCCGGCTCAGGGTTGACTCAGCCTTCCATCCTTCTGAGGTCGGTAAAATGAGTACCCAGCTTGCTAGGGGGACAATGTATAGCCTGTATAATGAAATTGTAAACCGCCCGGAGAGTGCTTGTAGCACTATGGGGCGGTATATAAGTCCAAAAATAAATAAAAATAAATAAATAAAATATGCAAAGTTCCCTGGTGTAATATAAAGGACAGTGTGTGGACAGGACTCCAGAGGCTCAAATTCAAATCTGCTTGGTCATAGAAACTCACGGGGGGAGGGACGGAGCTGGTAAAAACATTCCTTAAATACCTCATTTGGTTCAAAATTGGGAAAGGAGTATGACAGGGCTT